GTAGGCAGTCTTTGCTCTAGTCTGTACTTTCTATCCTTACCGCTGTTCTATATGGTTCGGCTTTTTGCATTTATACTTTTTTTACCCATTTAAATGTAGTAACCCATTTTTTTCCATTTTACTTCGTGTTGAATGGTGGTATCTATTGACACGTAACGCTTGTTCACGTGAATATGTCTGCTATTTCTCCGCCTCCTGCTCTCTTAATCATTTCATCTTCATTTTTGTCCTATTTCAGTTTTTATTGTTTTACTTCACCTAAATTTGTGGTTCGTTTCTATTAATTTTTGTTTTATTGTCTTCAAAATAATTAGTTTTTGAGGTAGATATTAAGTAAGCTATCTGTTTCAATTAGTTATCTAGGAGAACCTAATTACTGAGGTCACAGTCATCGATTTATCCTGAATATCTTGTGCTTACCTTTTATGGTTTTCAGTGCTGCCGCTTTTTTACCTGTTCAATTTTTACCACATGCCCGTTTTATTTTTTTGCTTATTTTCTCTGCTTAGTTTAGGGAATAAAAGCTGCCAAATATCAGTTTATAGAACATCGTCTGCTAAATCTTATTTGGCGTGTCTGGATTTGGTTTCCAAATTGGAGTCTCGTTGCTAAGCCCAACGGGAGTCAAATCAATTGAACATCATTGAGTTGTATTGTATTATATGACATGCCGCAGGCTACGCAAGAGTTACATAATTGCCCGAATTGCTCAAACATCATTCGTTTTTTTTAAAAAATAGTTTGTGACATTGTAAGTTCAAACGAATGAATTGACTTGTTCTAAACTAGTCTTGTTTGTTCTGAAAGCTTTCTCCTTTCGGGCGTTTCTTCCTCTGTTATTCAAAATTAATTAATGAAGTGACTCATGGCCAATTTAGATGTTTTTGATGAATTCTTAAGTCCATAGATAACTTTTAACGGAGTGTAATTAAACGTACCTGAAGCATTTGCACCGTTTTTGTTTTTGTGATATGTACATGAATTTAGTTCTCGCTATTTAACTGTTTCGATTAGTTGAGATTTCTAAGTGATCGCCTGTTGGATGGTTTTTTGTTTTACAAGCTAAGCTGTTTTGTGCATTCTGTTTATTCTCATCGCAATGAAAAGGTCTTCTCATTTGATCTGATTGCCTAATTTTTTTGAAGGAATTGTGTCTTGAAGTTACTCTGAAATTGAATAATTCTGGGATTTCATTCGTTTTAATGAATACGAAAATTTAACAAGACTGCTCGTATCAAGGCGAGGCCCTGAATGTTTGGACCGCCTCTTAAGGTTTATGGAGCGTAATAACATTAAAAATATAAATAACATTAAAAATTAAATGTAATAAATAAAAATGTTTTTTTTTTTTTAAATTTGAGGTTTTTTATGAAATTCATCTCCCACATTCCATGTAAAAGTACAAAGTGATAGATTTCGCTCCTAGTAACAAATCAATTATGGCAAAAAGGTTCCTTCAACCAATTTGGAACGATTTCTTAGAAGGATTAAATCTCCGCTTACGCGTTAATAGCTTGAAATATATCGCGCGTAAATTGTCCCAAAATGGCAATCTTTAAACCCTTATATTTTCACAAAAAATGATCGCAGCTGAAATATCTTTTCAAATTTAAGCTCAGGACAACAAAACCTTTTCAATGATATAAAAAAATCCGGTCGAAAATGGCTAGTTAAAAAGTTGAAAGTTGTCCGAAGAATAAAAAAACCCACCTCGAGCACAAATATTCCGTTACTTTCGTTACGAAAGTCGGAACAAAAATAATCCTTGAAAATTTGGTTTGTCTGGTCCTTGTTTGTGGAAACTTTTCAACGATGTTGGTGTTGTCTTCACTTGTGGCTTTGAAAAATTTTCCTTCCATATTGAAGTGTGATATACCAAAGAAAAATTGACTTATGCAAGTTGTGTGGCTGTTTTTCTTGTCTCGGGAAAGTTTCGGAATTTATTCACGCTCCTTTCATTTCTACTTCGATTTATTTTGAAGCTCGGTTTCTACACTTGTCAATTTTCTTACCGAGTGGAGAAGAAATGACTATCTCGAGTTACAAATGCGGAAGTTGCTCTTCTTATTTATTTTTTCTAATTAGACTTATTGTTTGAATGAAAAAAACATATTATAACAAAAATTACTAGTCACTATCATAAATGATTTTTTTCTAATTGAAAGAGCTTTAAGGAGCTTTGCTCATCGAGCTGTAAAATTGAAAAGTAATTGGTGGTTTTTCTCCAGTTTTAGTGTTCATGACAGGGTTGTTAAGTGGTTTTAAACATGAATACTACTATCAGAAGAAAAAATGATGTTTCAAACATCATGTAACAAAACATTGTATTTATTTGTTCCGACTTTCGAAGAAAATGGAATATTTATGCTCGGTGTATTTTTTATTTAGTCAATTTTTACCGATCGAAATAATATTTTTCAACAAAACATTTTTATACTTCATTGAAGATATCGACTTCCTGATATCAAATAATAAAAGATATTTCACATCCGATTATTTTTTGTAAAAATCTGGGGTTTTGAAAATTGCCAAATTTGCCATGTTCTGGACTAAGTTATGCGCGCTTCGAAGAGTTTATCATAATGCTGAGAGCGTCACGCGAAGTTGTTCCGCACAACAAAAGTTTTCCAAATTGAATTGAGGCTAGCTAATTGGTCGTATTTATTTCGTACGACTCAAATTTTTACTCTTTGATATTGTCCAAAATGTATAGGTTTTCAATATTTTTTCCCCAAAAACTATTCGATATGAATTAAGGGACAGACGGAAGATTCGGGGCTTTGCCCTGATGTATGAGCAGTCTTGTTCCTCCTTTAGAAGTCTTCAAACTTTTTCATGCACAAATTTAATTTTTCCTTCTTTATAAAGTCAAATTTTATCACGCACAAATTTGATTTTTCCTTATTTAAAAAGCCTTCAATTTATTAATTCCTGATTGTTTTTAAGTTCATTTCTTTTTTGTTCTTAAAGGTTCACGAAAAGGGTCAAACAAAAACGGTGTTTTAAAATTCAAAGAGCTGGAACGTGATATAGTTTTTTTTGGAATTCGAATGTTGGAAAGTGTTCAAAAATATCTTTCAATCAATGTTGTTTTCTTTGTTCGTTTATAGTTTTCGAACTGTCTATGTTTTCAAATGTGAGTCCAATTTGAAAGCAATGGGTTCAAACTTTAATGTTATATTCATGTCGGTCGAATGATTTACATCAGTTTTTTTGTTGTTGCAGATGAAGCAACCATATACAAAATTTTCTCATCATAGCCCATGCGTCTTTCCTTAGTGATAGCTATGTTTTTCAAGAGTCGATGAACCTAGTTTAGACTCATATATAGGTCGCGATGATTTTTTCTCAGAAAACGATTTCAAGTGCTAATAATTTCTTTAGTTACAATGAAAGCAAACTCCACTATCGAACAGCAAAAGTGTAAAGGTCACAAAAATCATGCCGACTTCTGGTTACGAAAGTGGAACTTAATTTTCAGATTTTCTAGTGGAACAAAAAATACCTATTGACCCAGTTTTCTCAAATTTGGTTAGTTTAATCAAAAAAGTGTCACTCATAAAGTGTTATAGAAATTAAAAGAGGTTTTAAGGTTAATTAATTTCTTCGGAATTCGAAAGTTAAGTTTTTTCGAAAATAAATTCTGTTTTTTTTTCTGTTTACTTGCGTTCATTTCCTCTTTTCCTACTGTCTGTTAGCTATATTCAGATTGAAGCACAGTCGATAGTTATTGCTATGGTTTTCTATATTACTGTTTTGCAGCGTAACTTTTTTGAGATAGGTCCCGTACTTTCAAAATTCCTTGAATTTGATTGATAGTTTCGTTTTTTAAAAGTTTTTCATGCGTTTTCCGAAAATATGGTATTTCTGTGGTTAGTTCCAGGTTGAAAGCGTGTTGTGTTTATTTTCGAGATAATCTTTTAACTTGAAAAGTTTCATAGTGTGATCGGTTGATGATTTAGTTTTTTTTTCATCCATTTTTCCTGTTTTTTTTTTCGGAAAAGATGCTACTTATGTTGGTAGCTAGAGTTGAATTTAGTATTTTATTAAGTTTCGGCATTTAAATCATAAGTTATGTAGACTGTGCAAAGACTGTCAACAATACGAGCCCCCTGGGACTGACTGAGTCAGTATAACAGCTGTCAATCAAATCTTGATTGACATTTATGAAAGATACTAAAGATACTAACGAACTTGAAAAATCTCCATCTGAAAACAATAACACAGGACAGCCTCAGGCCATTTTGTTTGCAGTTGAGTGGTAGTTGAAATATTGCTTACAGTATCTAAATTAAACTAGTTAATAAATTGTAAAGTTTATTGCACTCTGGTAGTTAAAAGAAAGCATTTTATCTTTTTGAATCAATTCCGGTGTGTCATAGAGTAAATTACAGGTATGAATAGAATTGATTCATCTATTTCTGGCTATTAATGGGAATATTCTCTTTTTTGTTACTGGTCCTCTCTTAACTAAATTGACAGGAAACAATTTTATCTCTGAAGTAAATTTTTTAATCATCGCTATCAGATTTTGCCGGTGCTTTTTCGGATGTGCAAAATAGATACCAATTTTTTCGATGATTATTACAAGCCGTTTTTTGTTACTTATTAGTCTTTTTAATCGAATACATCTCTGCTTTAAGTTCAAAGTCAATTTTTTGAAAATTGAAATTTTTTAACCTAAAATTAGTAACTAAAAATCAGTAAATTAAACTGCTAAAACAACATTTTTAAAAATTTCAACAAAAACCTTTAGACACCTGAACAACAACTTTCACGATTTTAGCAGTTTAATTTGCTGATTTTTAATTACTAATTTTAGGTTGAAAAAATTCAACCAAAAATTAGTAAGTAAAAATTAGTAAATTAAACTGCTAAAATCGTGAAAGTTGTTGTTGAGTTGTCTACAAGGTTTTTGTTGAAATTTTAAAAAATGTTTCAGACATCATTTTGAAAATATATTTGATTTAGCTGAAATTGGTGGAATAAATAATACAGCTAGTCCGAACAACTATATATGAAGAATTCATTGCGCTTGTATTAGTATTTGCCATTTGGAATCCGGGATTTAAGTCCGGCTTTATTTTGATCGTAGCTTTCAAAACAGACCATGGTTTTTACAAAAAGATTTTTTCCGTCTTCGTTGCGTTAAAAAGAAACGAGTTATCCAAAATCCAACCGCGTGGAAATTTCTGGAAACCGGTTGTTATATTTTGCGGGTGTTGAATTGGAGCTAGCACGTGACGAGATATATTTTTTCGGGTTAAGGGATTGGTTCTTTTGAATAAATTAAACCCAAACAAGTCAAAATGTTTTGAGCTTAGAATCAAGCACACATAGTAGCATAGTTGTGTCAAATTTGATCAAAAACGCAATCAAAGACATAGGTACTTTGTGTTTAAGTTTGCGCCTTAAACAAACTTTAAGGCAGAAATAACCGCCGATTTGAACGCTTTTATAGCCTAAACTAAACATTATTAACCAGGTGAAACTTTAATCTCCTAAAGCATTGCTTCCAATTCTTAATTCCATTTTCCTTTGAGTTATTTTTATCAACGAATGCCTTGAATTTCAATTGGTTATTACATATCTTTCAAGTTGAATTCAAGCAAAACAGAGCAAAAAAGTTCGCGACGTGTCAAATCATTCCAGTTCGGTAGGTTTCCAAAACCCTGATGAACTTAGACTGAACCTGGGTTTCAAATTATGCGCCTGCTCCGGGGAAGTCCAGTTACAATAATTTCCTTGACGTTTATGCCTCTGTAGCGACGATTTTCAGTATAAATATATTCAATACTTATTCGCAGTTTTGTGGATTTACCAAAGCTGCTTTTGTTTGAAAGTCTTTTTTTTTGAAAAGTCAGTTGACAATGGACCGTCGAATTGGTATAAATAGCTGGAAACCGCGACGCGTACATGGAAGAATAGTGATATAAGTACAGTTCAAAATGTCTCCAACGGATTATAATAACGGTTCTTGTTCAAATGCCACCACACAGAGGAATTTGCTGAAATTGCACCATTGCAGTAATGCAGACATATATTATAGTTATAGTCCGTCGGCTGTAGAAAGTAGAACTAAAGCAACTACCACCAACACAACCGACCGCCGTTCCAATTTTAATTTGAACTCTTTTCAACTTGCAAAAAATAGCGTTGTAAAGAATCCAGCTTGCCAATTGAACCCTAACCAAAAGCTTCAAATCCTGCAAGAACGAAGAGTCCAACAAGATCGCAAAAGTGGACGCGCTGGTGGATTTAGAGCACCGCCGAAAATCCCGGTCAGAAATTCAAGTAATGCGCTTCAAGATTTACAACTATTGGCCACCAAGGAAATCAAAGCAGATCGGACGGATAAAACTAATAGTTTGGAGCCAGATGAATTGATATCGTCCGGTAACAGGCCGGTTGAGACTAGAAATCATCAGAGAAAAGTCAACAGTCAGAAGACTTCTGCAAACAAAACACACGATTGTGGAGAATTTTACTGTTCCGGATTAGATTGTGCGAAACAGATTCTACAAAACAGATCATATAGAAAAGAAAAAGACAATGCTTTAAAGCATTCCTTAATTAATCAATTAAAAGTGCACGAAACTAAAAATTCGTCTGTGAAGACGAAAGAGTTGCCAAAAACCCCTCCACCGTTACCACCGAAAATTCCATTGAAAAAATCTGATCGTCGCGAAAATCCGAACACTTTCTACTCAGAATTACGAACTAACAAAAAGATTCCAGCAATCAAAACTTGTATTATTAGAAGAGCAGATAGTGTCCGAAATGAGCAAAAAAGGACAGGTTTAAGAAGGGATTTAGAGAACAGCAGTTCCGGAGAAAGTGAAATTAAGACGACGAAAAGAACAAGAGTTGACAAGTTATATTTGCCAACAGATAAGCTGAAACGCGCAAGGATAAATACAATGGAAAGCGTTTGCTCAAATAGTGAAAACAGAGAAAACGCTGTCACTGCTTCACTTGAGAATCGAAATAAAGAAGAATTTACATCTGAGATTGAAAAATCAAGCCTCGGTCAAGAAATAATGAAGCAGAATGATGATTTTGAATTAGTGGACGATAATAGTTTAGCACCATCGGCAGAATCAAAAATGGAAACTAAGTTATCCGACGAGCAAATTCAGAATGAACGAAAGCGAAACAATTCAAAAGCAGACGAAAAAAGGGGTACTAATTCGCAAAATGTTTCGAGCGATAACGTAATAGACTCGGTGACTCGTGGCGTGAATTTTGAGTTAATAGACGACCAACCAGATACTTCAGTTTCGTTTTGTACTAATACGACAGGAGATGATTTGTGCGACGCAGATGTGAGTCTAAGTACTGGAACCGAAGAACCCATGTCAATATCTCTCATTTCGTCTCAGTCACATCCTAAATCTGGAACAGGTGGATCGGATTCAGGTAAGACGACATTTTTCTCTTAATATTCTGGAGGGAGGGAAGTATTTGAAAACAGGGAATGTAGACGGTCATCAAATCCCACTTCGGTAATAGTTGGAGGGGTCCCAGTGTCATCCGCCTCCTCAAGGTGGGATCGGCGGCGGTGAAATGGGTGACACTCCCTCCCCACGGTTGTTCCTGCATTGAGTCATCATTTCCCGGTCGCAGAAGGAAAAAAAACAACAATGCATGTGGGTTTTAATTAGGAGCTAACCAATTCCGATGTTGTCCTAATCCCTCGAGATTAAATGTTTCAAGTTTCTATCAAACTAACTGTTTGTTTTGCTTTACCAAAAATTTCTATGGGATCACGAAGTTTTTGCAAAGTTAATTCTTCATTACAGTTGAAAAAATTTCGAAAATGCATACGGTTTGATTTTAATGCGTAATGATAGTTACAAATAAATTTTGTCTGAGTTAGCAAATGTGCAGTTGAAGCATAAAATATTTATCTTCAATCAAATGGCTCAGTTTGAAAAAAGCTGTTATCATTCACCACGATTTGAATCTTTTCGGTCCAAAAATCAAAAAATATAATTGTCATAAACAAGTCTTATCTTTTGTTCCTTTGTCTAAAAAAATTAAATTCTTTTTTTTTTCGATCAGGTGTAAGCAGTGGTCTGTCGCCTCCTATTTCAAACCTCCACATTTCATCACAATTGCAAGAAGCAGCAACGTTATCAGGAATCAAGGACGACTCAAACTCGAAAGATGTCAAAAAAGGATCTGAACCCAGAACGGAGGAGTCAAATAGCGACATAAAAAGTACCCCGTTGGGAGTTAATGGGACAGACACAATTAATATTTATGGGCGAAGTGAAAAGGAAAAAGCGATTGAAGGAAAACAAATTGTAAATGAAGAGGATTTGTGGCGACAAAGGAGTGGTAATGGGAGTAAAACAGTTAACAGCGGGACCCAATCCGACCAAGAGCAGATCTTAGGGGGAGGGGGTGGGGGGTTGCTGCAAGTAATTTCATCAGTCAACCAGATTGAACCTACAACTATATTACGTCCTCCAAATTCAACTAAAAGAAGTAACAGTGCTTTTTCGTCTGGTAATAACATCAATAGCACCACCAGCCAAAGTAAAAAATCGAATAATAAAGCGCCTGTATTCAAAGCTCCAACGAACAGCCCAATAGCGAAACCGATCTGTAAAGTTGAAGCAAGTCAAGTCAGCTCTTCGGGTTATTACTGCAGTTCGTTTATCGTAACAACAGAGAATACTACCACTGCTATCGATACGCACAGTTATTTCCAAAATCAATCCGATAATACATCAAACTCCTCGCCGCCAGAGAGAAATTTAATTTGCCCAGACGTAACTGACAGACGACAAGTGCCCATCTCTCAGAATTTGCCCATTCAGATAGAAACTCTAGCCCACTCGGCTTCTTTTCTGCCCATTTCGCCGCCCCTGCCTCGACCCCTGAATAGAACAGGTCGGACTAATTTGATACTCTTTTATTGCAAGACATCTAAGCGGTATTGAAGTACTAAGGTTCATGAATGAAATTATATTAAGACCCCGCCGATTTTCTTTATTTAAATTGCATACTTAGGATCGCATAGAAAGCACACTTTGATAGAAAACGCATTTTGATGTTAACGAAGTTCGCGTGGATACATAAAAGTGAACTATTTAACTGGGTTCTTTCAAATGAAAGTCGGCCATTAAGTTGAAGCATTTCTCAGTTTTGTTTCCATGATTTTTCCTCAAAGCTTGTCAAAATTTTAAAAATTATTATCCGAACGAAATAGTGCAAGTGAATTATCTATATTTTTTTAAATATAACAGAAGGTTAAAAGGAGCTTTGTTTGATGTCTTGCAATGACTCAAATCTCTGTCTTTACCAGTTGATCTCTCGAACTATGAGGTGGCATCTTGCTCCAACGTCGCAGTGGACGATTTCTCCATTCCCTATCTGTCAAACAACGAACATCTGAGCAGCAACAGTGTCGAAAGTTCACACCAGCACAATTCAAAGGAGAACTCAGTCGTAGACAGCACATTGTCCGAGATCAGCTCGGAACGAACAAATGTCGCAGTCGGAACGAACGACGATTTGTTTTGTCCTCTAGCAATTGTAACTAGTGCGATAACTCCGACATTTCAAGAACAAGGAACTCAAACTATACAGACACATTTCCAATCATATCAACAAGCTCAATTTGGAACAAACGATTTGTCTGTAAATCAGCCTTTGTTTAATTTGCACCAAAATTTTGGCCCGACGTACGATTTCATCGACGATCCAGTCGAAAGAACTGGAACTCAAGTTGTGAACCCGATTCCAGGGTTGGTTTATGAAATAACTACAACAGTAACTACTCGGGTTCCCTACGAGCGCGAACCACGAGTTAGACGACCACGAGAGAAACATGCAAGGCAACACGACGCGAATGTAATTGGCGAACAACGAGAAACGAACCCTCGGAAGTTGAGACGCAGTCAAACGCTTGTTAAAAAAGATCCAGCTACTGAAGAATGTCCAATTGTTTCCAATGAAGATTTCCGAAACTCTGATGAAAATATGAATAGTTCAAGATATCGAAATATTAGAACTAAGCGAAATAATCGCTACTTTAACGGAGATGAACGCAGCGCGAGCAGTGATAAATTACTTGATGGAAATTACTATCAAAATGAACAGTACAATACAAAGTCATCAAGATTGCGAACATCTTCTTATGAAAATGCGATTAACCAGTCGCGGAACAATCTGTTTATTGAAAGTTTAAGCGAGACTTACGAGCCGTTTTTCTCCTCGCGTCAACCAAACTTAACGAAGCAGTTCAGAAGTCAGCAGTTAAGTTATGGTAATCAAAACTCTGAACTTAAAAGGGCCGAGCAATTTGGAAGATCGAATCTGTTTCGCCCTTTGAATATCGATGTTTCGCAAGATCAAGTCGATCATGAAAGGCAAAAAGCAAGAAGCTATGATCACCTGAGAACGCCGCCGATTGCGCTGGACGATTTTTTCAATTCCCAACCACGATGCGCACCTTTAACCACTACAACAATTGACAAGAGGCGGTTCTATGACCCGGTTACGGGGTCGAGACCACAAACATTTCGCAGGAACCATCGTCGAAATACAGAGCGCCCAAAATCGATTGTCGGTTGTATCAGTGCTAGCAGCTCGTATGATTGTTACGAAGACGACAATTTTTTATCAGGATTGATAAGAACATTTACAAGTATTTGTACAAAAAAGCAGAATCGAAAATCGGTCGTGGTCGAAAATCCCCATCGCGGTTATCTACCTTACCAATGCGGAATGACCTTTCCCGATTGTTCACATCGCAGTTTACCCCCTCCTTCATCAGCGGTTATAAGGTCCAACAGATTTTACCCAGAGGTAACTGGTACTCTGTCATACGGTGCTAACGTCCAAAACTCACGATTGAATTGCCCGCTTTATCATGAAGGGTTTAAAACGTTACCACACTTTTCATCACGCAATTTTAACACTAACTCAAATAGGTTTGAAGCAAACAATGTAGCACGTCATTGTGGTTGGACTAATAGCGAAGATAACCTTCATCATCATTACCATAATCCTTACTTACCACCACCTATGTTTATACATGGCAGGGGTGAAGGACGCAGTTTAGTTATGGGTGATGGTTACTTGCCGAATTACACACAGAGTAAAGATGAGAGAGTGAAAAGTAGACATTGCTCTTTGAATGCATGTCGTCTTCAGGAGCAAAGTGATAGACATCACCAGAAGCCACATAATCAGAGATATAGTAGTCGATCTAGAGAGGTATTGAAAGTAAAAGTTAAGCTGCAAACTTAAGTTGAGGGTTTAATTCGGGTAGTACGTTTAAGAAATTCACCGTTGTAGATTTTTTGTTGCTTTTTGATGTCTGTCTTCGAGGTTCAAAGATTCCTTCAGTTCATCTACAAGTTGTAGATGATCTTTGAGAGACGGAGTTTTTAAGTGCTCTGGTACTTTAAACGCTTTTTACAATAAATATTTTTAAAAAATACCCTTCGAGGCACAGAATTAATAGTTAACAATTCTAAAGTTTTTGGGATCTTTTTTTTGAGAATCGTGAGAGAAAGTTCATTAAAGGTGTCAAATTGATTCGAGTTCTATTTTTTTCTGAATAACTGCTATAACCAAACTTGAAGTTAAATTTATCTCGCTTTTTTAAATACGTTTAAGAGTAATAAACGTGGCGGGACTCTTATATAGGTCTTGCTGATTTTTTGTTTGTTTTTTTTTTCGGGAAAAGTCTTAAAATTTGTTAACGCTCAATTTTGATTTTTCGCGGTTTGACTTGTGATTTCATTGTTGAAAGGAAGGCAAACTCCACTATCGAACAGCAAAAGTGTAAAGGTCGCAAAAAATGTGATCGACCTCTGATTTCCAAAATTGAAATTAATTATCAGATTTCCAGCGAAATAAAAGTTTTACAAAAAAGTGTTCATCATAAATTGTTCTACAAAGTCAAATAGCTTTAAGGCCATCTCTTTTTTTTCGAAATTTGAAAGTTGAGGGATCTTGAAAAAACAATTCAGTTTTTTTTCAGTTTCCTTGCGTTCATTACTCTTTTCCAACTGTTAGTTGTCTATGTTTTTTTTAATAGTTAATCATTTGAATGTTTGAAAGTTTTTGATCTTGTTTTAAAAATCCGTAGGAAGTTTTCACTTAAGGTGCAAAATTAAGTCGAGTTCTTTTTTGTCTGAAATTCTACAATAACCAAACTGAAAGTAAATTTATCTTGGTACTTTGAACGCTTTCTAAAATATGTTTTTTTAAATAGTTCATCATTTTAATGTTTCAACGTTTTTTGTGATCTTGTTTTGAGAATCCTTAGGGAAATTTCATTAAAAGTGTCAAATTGAGTGGAGTTCTGTTTTGTCTGAAATTCTGCAGTAACCAAACTTCAAGTTGCAAACTCAAATTTATCTTGGTACTTTAGATGCTTTTTAAAGTACGTTTTTTAAATAATTAATCATTTGAATAATTGAAAGTTTTTGTTATTTTGTTTTGAGAGTCCCTAGGGAAATTTCATTACAGGTGTCATTGAGTCGAGTTCTATTTTGTCTGAAATTCTGAATAACCAAACTTGAAGTTAAATTTATCTTGGTACTTTAAACGCTTTTTAAAGTAAGTTTTTTCAATAATTAATCATTTGAATGTTTTAAAGTTTTTGGTGATCTTGTTTTGAGAATCCCTAGATAATATCATTGCAGGTGCTAAATGAAGTCGATTTCTGTTTTGTCTGAGTTTACTGCAATAACCAAACTTGAAGTATATTTTATCTTATTGTAAAATGCCATCTGATCTAACCGAAGACTTGGACTAAGAATGAGGCCTAGAAGTTCTTGACTAATATGAGTTTCCTGGCTGTTTTAATACTGTGAGGCAAAATTTCATCCGAACCATTTTTCTGAATATTGATTTTAAAAAATTCTTTGATTTATATTAGAAACAAAAATAGACGTCGCGCAGAAAATTTTGACAAGATAGGGTCTTTACTCTTTATAGAGCTTTGGGGAAGGCTAGAAAACCAACATCAATTTGATGAATCATAATAATGAAAAATAATAAGAATCGTTTCTTTTTTTGCCTTGCAGTCGGGTTTTGTAGTAAGAATTTTGGCTCTTTTCCATTCCTCCCACAAATTTCAGTTTTCGTAGTTGTTTTATTTATTTTCACCGTACTTATGGCTGAAGTTTTTCAAAAGGATTGAAATTGGGCAGTTGGGGGGGGTGCAAAAGAGCTTTAATAATAATATTTCAACCAACCTATCTGACTGTGTGTTTAGCCCCAAGTTGACCCCGTGACCAAGTACCTGAGAGCTGCCCGCAATGGTCGCCAGGACGAGATGCTTGCCCTACTGCAACAGTACGCACACCATGGAGTTCACGTTGAAGTCTGCAACTCCAGTGGTCTCAATGCACTCCATCTGGCGGCCAAAGAGGGACACCTGCACATTGCACAGCTGCTGATGGATGCAGGCATTGATATTCACGCCATGACTAAGGTGTGTTTCATTTTCACCAATCAGAAGGAGGTAGTCTCAATGCGTTTATAGTCTCGTAAGGGGGGGCATGGAGTGAAAAGGCGTAAGCCTCGATGTGTTAAAGTGTAAAAGAACGAAGTGATTTTATTTTCACTTACATAAGTCGCGATGATTTTTTCTAGAAAAGTCTTTTATTTGTTCACGCTTAAACTTGGTTTTCGGCGGTTTGATTTTTGAAATTTCGTTCATTTTTTTTTGTTAAAAGGAAGGAAAACTCCTCTATCGAATAACGCAAATGTAAAGATCGCTAAAAAGGTGATCGACTTCTATTTCGAAAGTCGAGTTTGATTATCAAATTTCCCAGCGGTATAAGAAACTTACCTAAAGATCCAGTTTTCCCTAACTGAGATAACTAAAAAAGAGCCAATCATAAAGACTTCTTGAAATTAAAAGAACTTTAACATGTAATAAATATATATTTCGAAAATTGAAAAATGTTCAATGTTTTAGATTTCTTCGTTTTTTCTCCGAAGTTTTTCACTTGTTTGTCCAATTTTGTAGTTTTTTGTTTCTTTTTCGTAAAAAGCCTTAAAAAACTTTCTCGCTCAAATTTGATTTTTTTGCGCTTTGAGTTTGGATTTTTAAGTTCCCTTCAAGTTCATTTTTCTCCAGTTACGAAATTTCCAATGGCGCAAAAAACTCATTTTGTAGTAAGACTCTGCAGCTTTTTAGAATTTTATCCAGATTTCGAGCATTCTTCTTTCTTTCATCAAAAGTTTGAAATTCAAAGAAGCTTTATGGTGATGTTTTTTTTTTGTTTCAAAATTGAAAGATGAAAAATTTTCAATCTACAAAGTTCAACCACTGTTTTAGGTCTCCTTGAGATCATTGACACTTTTTCAACTGTCTGTTGGCTATGGTCTCAAATTGGTCTCTGTCTGTCTATCATGAAAATTCAATCATAGAAGATTTTGATTATGAAAGAGCTTAAGGCTGATATATTTGTTAAAACTGAATAGTTAAAAAGGTTCAGAAAAAAGTCAACAATTTCTTTTTCGGTATTTTCAGTTCATGACACCTTGCCGACTCTATGTTGGTTTTCCAACTACGTTTTTTCTTTCAATGCTCTGGCAAAAAATGTTGACACTCAAGGTTATTTTTTTGCGGTTTGATTTTTCTTTTCTTTAAAATTTACTACAAAATTTTCAAAGGGCAAAATGTGAAAGTCGAAATGGAGCGAAAAATCCATATTTTAAAAATGAAATTTAATTTCAGGAATTCCGTGCGGAATAAAATGTTATTGGCCCAGCTCTCTTTTTTGGTTAGTTTCATGAAAAAGTGTCATTTTCAACCGATACTTGTAATTCGAAGAGCTATAACCTAATTTTTTCCTCCGAAAATTGAAAAATTCAGAAAAATTTTGACTTTGAATTCATTGAAATTTTCCAACTGTCTATTTGATATGTTTAGATATTTCAGGATTCTTGGTTTTTTGAATGGATGCAGCTATTGATACACGCAGAGAATGTGGTATCTTCTAGGCTTTTTCCAGAGTTACTAAAATCCGTTTACTTTTTCACAATGAAATCTGCATGTTTTCGTTTAATTTACAATAGTGCAGCTTATTTCTAAATAGCTTTATTAAGAGTCGTCGAACGTAGTTAAGACTCTTATATTGATTGTGACAATTTTTTTTGGTTATTTTCAAGAAAATATACTAAAATTTGTTCACGTTCAGATTTGATTTAATTAAAGTTCAGTTTATTTCTCTTGTTAAATTGAAGGCAATTTCCACTATCGAACAGCAAAATTTTAAAATTCACGAAAAATGTAATTGACCTCCAGTTTTTAAACTGGATTTCTTATTTCCCAGCAGAATACAAAATGTACATATTGATCCATTTTTTTTCAAATTGTGTCAATTTATCAAAAAACTGTTCTATCTAAAAACTTCAACAAATTCGAAGAACTTTGAGGCCATCTGTTTTTTCTTAAATCGGAGTTTGAGATTTTCAAAAAAATTAAGCAATTTTTTTCTGTTTTCTTGCGATCATTGACTCTTTTCCAACGGTCTGTCGGCTGTTTTGGAAATTATTTGTGAGCAAACATTTATGGGGGAGAGTTGGAAGAGAGTCCTATTATGACCAATAGATAGCAAACTTGGTCTCGGTAGGGCTGAGCGTTCTTGACACATTTCTTCCCCTTGCACATTTTGCCCATCTAACCTCAGATGAGCAAAATGTGTAATGTCACGAAATGTGTCCAGAACGCTCAGCCCAACCGGAATACGTTCTCCACATGTTTTAGAAGATCAATTTCTCCATAATTATCTGGCAAATATAATGTCAAGCGAAATATGCCATGAACTTAATTAGGAGCCAAAAATGCCACATTCGGGTTGCATTGCCTTTAGTGTTAGTCTCGTTAGAAAGGGGAATACCTGGCAAAAAGCCGATGATTTTCAGTTAGTTATACGAGTTTGTTGCCTCAGTGTATATGTGCAGAGGAAATAAATTGAATGTCTAAAGTATGCGCAAGTAAAGATTTCGGATGTTCATTCAGTTTCATTTTTCCTGACTTTGACAACCAATAATTGCTATGGACAATAGTATCTGCGTCATCCTATTTAGAAATTTGATCAGTGCTAGTTTTATCCTTGTCGCCATCTATGTAGGCTTTTCCACTGCTTTTACTTTTGAGAGTTCAAGAGAAAGGTTTGCAGCTTCTGGCAGCTTCGAACTTCAAAATTGCTCATATGCGTTTGTAGTGAATGTTTACTCTTGTGAGAATGCCACCACAAGTAAAATTTCATGCTGTTGAAATTTCGAGTTGAAAATTTCATTTGGTTATTCAGATTAATGAACGTAGTTAAGACTCTTATATAGGTCTTGGTGATTTTTTTGTCGTTTTTTTTTTCAGGAAAAGACGAATGCTCTAATAACTACCCGCATACAGTTTCAAGCGTTAATAAGTGATTATATTACGATTTTTTTAATACCACTCTTACTAAAATTGAGAAACAATCGATTTCAATCAATTAATAATCGGTTATAATCTCCCTTTTTGAAATCAAATTTTAATCAATTATAATATATTTCAATCAATTATAATCGATTTTTTTATCCGTCTTTTTTCGATACAATTATAATCCATTATAATCGACTATAATCCCTTTTATTTGCCCATTTTGTTTTCGAAGTTGCATCTAATTTGCTTATACTTTATGCTTTTCGTAGACGTTGGTTCCTGTGAAAAATGAGAAATCTGTTTTTAAACTTTTCAAATCTCTGCGGTTTTTTTTCTTCCCCATTAGAGTTATTTTATAATGCACATTTTAAGCTTTTTTAACCTCCAAAATATCAGCAAATTGATTTAGTTTCATGATTGATTCGGAAGATTTATTTTTCACCTACCGCGGGAACCTTTCAACTATAAACATCTCCCTTTTTGAAATCAAATTTTAATCAATTATAATATATTTCAATCAATTATAATCAATTTTTTTATCCGTCTTTTTTCGATACAATTATAATCCATTATAATCGACTATAATCCCTTTTATTTGCCCATTTTGTTTTCGAAGTTGCATCTAATTTGCTTATACTTTATGCTTTTCGTAGACGTTGGTTCCTGTGAAAAATGAGAAATCTGTTTTTAAACTTTTCAAATCTCTGCGGTTTTTTTTCTTCCCCATTAGAGTTATTTTATAATGCACATTTTAAGCTTTTTTAACCTCCAAAATATCAGCAAATTGATTTAGTTTCATGATTGATTCGGAAGATTTATTTTTCACCTACCGCGGGAACCTTTCAACTAAAATGTAAGGATCTCTATGAAACTTTTGTTTCGTGGTAAAATTTGTGTTCAGATGAACCAAAGTGTGACAAGAGATCTCTCTTTTAGAGATTTTGTTATTGACACAAAATTAATAACCCATAAGATATAATTCGAAATTGTTTTGGTTTGACAAAATTTTGGCAAATTAAGAGATTATAATCGATTATAATTTAATTTCAGGGTTTTTTGTATGAACTATAAACAATTATAATCGGTTATAAGCGATTTTTTGGAAAATATCACGATTATAATAAGTTATAATCCTGTAAACATCTACTTTTGATAAATATAATTGATTATAATGTCCAAAAATCATCATAATATTCAGTTATAATCGATTACTTACGTCTAAACTTGGATGCGGGTACATATTTGCATTCCAACATAGTAATGAATTTATGAATGCACTTAGATATATATGAGTTCAATTGAAATTCATGTGCTGAAAGTGACGTAAATACCACTCTCCAAATACGACCGTGGAAATGGCGCAAAAAAAACGTGAATGATTTCGAAAGTGGAATTTTAATTTCAGATTTTGAGCAATAAAAACTTTACCTATTGATTCAGTGTTCTTAAATTGGGCTAATGTTATCAAAATAGCGCCAATCATAATTTGTTTTAGAAATTCAAAGAGCGAAAAGGGCATCTATTTTCTTTTAAATTCGAAAGTTTTTTTCAGAGATTTTTTTCAACAAAGTCAGTGTGTTTTTTCTGTTTACTTGAGCTCGTGGCTCTTTTCCAACTATCAGTTGGCTATGTTTTAAAGTTTTAGCTCGTGTTTATGTGGTAGCTAATGTTCACCTAGTGGTGTGCTCAGTGAGTCGTGAAACGCACAAACACTAAGATCGAATTGTGCCACTAAAATTAATAGTTAAGCGGGACCCAACCCAACTTGCCACATTCTGTCTGCATTTCCTGCATAAATTATCGTTAGGAGGCGGATCACACATAAAATACTCAGTGGTTTTAGTGAGTTTGTTTGGCTTATGGTTATGGATGGGGCACACATAGAAAATATGTACAATTTTTTTATGGCAGTTTCATACATATGTGGTTTCGGAAGGGTATGGACATCCACAGAAAAGATTTAGGATGCTTAGTTAGCTTTATGTTTGTCCTGAATTCTTATTGTTCACACCCAAAAGTACTCAAGAATATCTTATAGTGGCCTCGTGGTATCTAGCATACAATATTCGGTCACTGCAAATCTGCATATTTGTTACCATTGTAAAAGCATCCTCATTCTTTTACTTTTAACAATGCCATATGAAGAGTTGCAGGAATTGTAAGCTTTGAATATCAGCAATGCTTGATAGAGTTTGAAGTGAATATTTACGCTGGTGAAAATACCAGGACAAGCAACTTTCAAGTCAAGTTTCATTTTGGCAATTTGAAATTTTAGCTCGTATGTTTTAAATAGCTCGTGTTAACGATGAAGATTTTAAAACTTATTTAGCGCTAAGCAGTTGACGCCATTTTAATTGTAAATGGGAAGTTTCAATTGGAAATTGGATTGCCAATTTTAATGAAAATCTTAAAACTTTTGTTTTAGTAATTGGAATTTATTGGCAGTTTTGTTTTAGTAATTGCTATTTATAAGCCATGCTGTGATTTGAAGTTGAACCATTGACTACTGTTGGAGATCAACTGTGACGCAGTTGTAAATCAAGAATCGATTCATTAATACCAGAAGCGGGGGGGAGATAGATTAATGTCAATACAACTGACTGCGTATAAATACAATTTAAGTCCAGCAAAACATCAAATGTTTTCAAATACAAAGCTTGAGTGTTTTTATTTTGACTGGGGCAGTTTTGATTCTGTCAAGCTTATTGACAGTAAGTGAGCTTTTTGAGCCCACGAGTGTTTTTAAAGACAAAAATGTCACAATTAAAACGCAAATAGGTAATTTCAGACTTGGCATTTTACTTTCGAAGGGTTTCCTTGTTTCAAGCATAATTAGGTATACATTGTTCAGAAGTTTGTGTTTTTCCCACTTAATCAAGCGATAGGCGAAAATTTGATTAGAAATAGCTGAAAAATGTTACATCTGGGAGACAGTGTACCGTTTCGCGTGCAGGGAGGGTTTGTATTTCTCGCAGCAATTTGGCCCAAATCAAGTCTTAATGAGACTTTCCGTCCCTGTTTAATCATTTCGGACCACAGTTGCCCAGAGCGGATTTGAAGTCGAATCGCTGCGCGAAAAATTTGGACACGGTATCTTTTCCTTTCAAAATTTCCCAGGAAGTTCAACTAACGAGGATATATACATTCTCAGCGGTTTTAATGTACCAATAGGGGACTTGCATTTTCCTTTCAAATTACATGCTTCAAATTTTGAAATAACCAAAAAAACCAAATCGATGTTTTATTATCTACCACATGGTTCCAAATAGATTTAAGACATCCAGCATGCATGAAAACCGCATTTTCAATGGTAGGAAAAGAATCTTCAAAATGTATTACGGCCATGAACGACTGTTTAAGAATTCGGTCGACTACGCCGTAGGGGAAAATTCTTCGTTGTACAATGGTCAAGGAACGAAGTGAAATTTGACTTATTTAGGTTTCTTAAAAATCGTATTATTAAACAAAATATCACGCAATTGTTCACGCAAAAAATCATAAAAAATATCATGAAGTTAGGTCGCGTGGTTTTTTATTTCGGTTTTTTTTCAGGAAAAAATAGAGAAATTATTTACCCTGATTGTGTAATTGTTCCGACTTTCAAAGAAAACAGAATATTTATTCTCGGTGTTTTTGTTTATTCAGTCAATTTTTGCCGATTGAAATAACAGTTTACTGAGTTCAAATTAAAAAGATATTTAACCTCCGATTATTTTTTGTAAAGTTCTGGGTTTTGAAAATTGTCAAATTGGCCATATTCTGGACTAAGTTATGCGCGCCTTGAAGAGATTATGCATAATGCTGAGAGCGTAACGCGAATTATTTATGCGTGGCGAATTATCCCGCTCAACAAAATCGTTACCAATGGAATTCAGGCTAGCTAATTGGTCGTATTAATTTCGTACGACTCAAAATTTTGCACTTTGATATTGTCCAAAATGTAGGTTTTCAATATTTTCGTTTCCCAAAAACTGTTCGATATGATTAAAGGGACAGTCGGAACATTCAGGGCTTTGTTCTGATATACGAGCAGCCCTGTTGTTCCGACTTTCGATACGAAAGTAACGGAATATTTGTGCTCGGGGTGGGTTTTTTTTCTTCAGACAAATTTCGACTTTTTAACTAGACGTTTTTGACGGAATTTTTTATATCATTCGAAAGGTATTGTTGCCCTGAGCTTAAATTTGAAAAGATATTTAACCTGTGATTATTTTTCGTAAAGTTATGGGGGTTTAAAGATTGCCATTTTGGCCAATTTGGGACAATTAACGCGCGATATATTTCGCGCTATTAACGCGTAAGCGGAGATTTAATCCGTCTTAGAAATCGTTCCAAATTGGTTCAAGGAAGCTTATATACCTTAATTGATTTGTTAATAGGAGCAAAATCTATCACTTAGTACTTATTATGACGTGTGGGGGATGATTTTTTTTTAAATCAAATTAAAAAAAAAAATTTCATTTTTTTAAATTACATTTAATTTTTTTATGTTATTACTGCTCCATAAAACTTAAAAAGCAGTCGAAAATTTCAGGGCTTCGCCCTGATACGAGCAGTCTTGTTTTCTTTTTAAGTTCAGTTAAAAGTCATGCTGAAAATACTGCAAATTACGTTCGCTCTCCGATACCGGAAGTCCAAATTGCCTGTAAAAGTCCAACAGCGATCAACTACTATTGGAGCTCAGCTGTGACTCAGTTGTTAAACACGAATCGATTCATTTATACCAGACACTGGGCGGAAAATGAATTTTGACTTCTTGAGGACTTGTTTTTGTTTTCAGTAAACCCAATAAATAATTTTAGCGCAATTTTTACTCAGGTTTTTGTATATGCGTATCTGTTGAAATTGAATCTTTTTCTGCCTTATCCCTATTTTACAGCCGAAAATAGCTCAATCTTGTCTAGTTTTTCATTGTTGTAGTTTTGCAAGTTTCATTTAGTCGCTTCTTATTTGCTAGGCTGCGCTTTTATTTGTTTTATATTTATTAGTCTAATTCTTTAATCAACGAATCGAATTTCAGCAGGTTTTTCAAGTAGTGTATTTTTTTTCAGGAAAGAGTCTTAAACTTTGGTGCTGTTCAGCATACGTCAGGAGTTTCCAATTAAACGGGAGGAGTTTTCAATTTATATGGCTAATAATTTTTGCAGGACAGATAAATATTTTGGTTTATTGGGCGCGTTTACCCAATTAGTGTCGGCTTGTGGCCGGCTGGTAATTTCGTTGTCAATTTAATACAATGCTTGCAACATGGTGTTCATATTTTGTGATCAGTTTGGCTAGCTTTTTTGCACCTCACAAGTTTCTCAACCGAAAAGGAAGCCATTAGCATTCGAAGAATTTGTAGAAATTTAAATTAATTTGAAAATGGCAGTGGTTGGAGCATTAAGTGCTGTTTGCACAGCAACCCGCTACTTATTCGGTTTGTTCCTATGGTCCATATTTTTTAAGATTAAGTGCTATTTGCACGGCAACCCGCTACTTATTGGGGTTTGTTCCCATGGTCCATGTTTTTTAAGATTCGATGAACGTAGTTCAGACTCTTATAAAGGTCGTGCTGGTTTTGTTCAGGCTCAAATTTGATGTATAGCGGTTTGAAATTCGTTTTATTTATTATTTAGTTCATTTCCAAGACAAACCTGCGTTCATTGACTCTTTTCCAACTGTCTGTTGGCTATTTTTCTAACTATGCTAGACATTTTCGCCTACCTAGTGTAATTATAAGGGAGCACAAGAGCTTAGGTGTCTCAGTACCATAGCTGTTGAACCAGCGAGATAGTCGTTTCTCATGCTCGTTTGACCAAGGGTTGATTAGCTCTCCGGTCCACCAAAGTATATTCACAAGCGAGCTCGCGATGGTGTTCCAATTTTTTTGCTATTGCCACTTTCACGTTTTCAAAATTTTTCTGTAAAATTTTGTGCGTTGATTTCGTAGCTTATGATCTAGCTATTTAGCTTTATTGAGGTACTGTCTTTCGTCCGACTACTTGGATTTTTTTCAGCCAATTTTGACTACCTTAAAGAAAGCTCAAGTTAGTCTTCCTTCTAACGCTACTTCAGTCGTAGTTGCTCTGATTATTTTTGCTGTTTTAACTCAAATTTAGCAGAGCGTGTTATATGACGAAAGATGTTTCACTCAAAATCATAATGAACAAATCATACTCAAGCGAAAACCCAACTCGCAAATAAAAGTTTTGTATTGGCAGTTTAATAGCACGTAATCTCTAATATATCAGTGGCTAGTGTTTGCTTTCTGTAAGCTCCTGTGCAACAGTTCTGCTCGGCAGTCGGCTGTAGCACTTGGGTGTCTGAGGACTGAGGTTCGAAACCCATATAGGCCGTTTATTTTTCAAAACTAATTTTTAATATTTAATTCCCTGCCTTGCTTCACTTTCCGGCTACTTCTGAGCGTTTTTCCTCTGTTGTATGCAAAGTGCAGCTTCGCCTCTCTGTTTAATTTTCAGGCATAGAATAATCTGCAGATTTACCTTCAATCTCACTTTCAAAAAAAATCAAATTTTTTCAAAAAACATCGATTTTTTTTAAATCGATGTTTCAAAAATATCGCTACTCACAAGCAACCGCCTACTTTTCTGTGAAGTTGATTTATTTTTTTTTGTATTTGTCTTGGTTTTCGTTTTAAAAGCTCCTTTGCCGTTTTTTCGTGATGTTTGCGAAGTGCAGCTGAGTTTTCCTGTTGAATCCTATCTTTCTAAATTTTTGCATTGAATCCTTTTTCTCTACCTTGGATTTGTTGTGTTTTGTTGTAGAAAGGCAATACGGCTCTTCACATAGCAGCTCTATCTGGCCATCTGCCCCTGGTGAAATTGCTGGTGTCGAGAGGCGCCAACGTCAACTCGGTCACGCCCGAGAGGGGGTTCACCCCACTGTACATGGCCGCCCAGGAGAACCACCTGGCTGTGGTGAAGTACTTGGTGGATCAGGGCGCAGATGTGAATCTCCTAACTGATGTAAGTTGAACTTGAAAATAAAGCTCACCCCCCTTCATTTGAAAAGAAAACTATTGAGCGTTGTGATAATGCAATGAATTTTTGCACTGTGAACACCTGAGTTTAAAAGGGCTAAATAAACTCAATTACGATAAATGTTTATGATGATTGATTAAATGCTGTGAACACATGTTCTTCAAGCTTTACATCGTAATTTTACCGATAATTAGCATTTACCTCAAATAACACATAAAACTACATAAAAAGAAAAAGTGAATTGAGGCGAGGGTAGTTGAAAAAACCCGAACTTGAATTTGCTCTCTGTAGTCATCGCGAAATATTGATCACGTGATCATAGAAAAATTTGTATAATTGAGCCTTAAATCCGAAGCTGAGCCTAATTTTGCTTAGCTGTGTAGAGTTTAATTCAAATATATGGGCGAAAATTGAAGATAACAAATCTTTCACGAGGTTTGAGCAAAATGTTTTCCGATAAAACGATGAAACATTAAATTACCAAACGATACTAGTTGCAAGTATTGATGGGTCGATTGTTTCAGGATGGGTTCAGTCCATTGGCCGTGGCAGTGCAACAGCGGCACGCAGACATAGTCTCTTTTCTCCTACGTCTGGACAGTTCAGCTACGGGGGGGACCATGAATGCCAACTACAACCCTACAGGGACAATGAACTCAACCCTCGGCGGAAAAGATAGTAGCAACTACAACACACTGAATAGTGTTACGAGCACGCATCGACGACAACGATCCACGAGTAGTAACCGCCGATCACATTTACCTGATTTACACATAGCGGTTAAAAAGGACGACTCGAAAGCGACTTCGTTATTGTTGCAACAGGCGTCGGCGGACCCGAATGTGAAAGCACCGGGAAGCGGATTCACGGCATTGCATTTGGCTGCACATTATGGCTACGTGAGCATTGCGCAGATACTGTTGACCCATGGAGCCGACCCGAATGTTCCGGCTGGGAAGGACAATATTTCGGCGTTACATGTGGCAGCTAAATGTGGACAGACGGAAATGACGAGGATGCTTTTGGGCCATGGAGCAGAACCAAATGCTAAAACGAAGGTTGGTTGATATTGCCCCAATTGAAGGGGCCTCGTTAAATGAGCTGAATAGCTCTTATGAGGAACCTAGATATATACCCTTAAAATTTTTGGAATAATGATTTTTGTGATACATACATCCTGGGGCGGATTTAGGGGAGGAGGCAAACGCCCCCCCCCCTCCCATCCTTCAGGGATTCGACCCCCTCACCAACCAAACCAACCAAAGAGTTCCTTCGGTATTATTTTATGACATCTATTTTAGCCAGACCAACCCTTAAGTTTTTCTAAAGGCGCCTCTGACTACACATATTAATTTAGAAAGGGAGCATTTTTAGGGGATCATGTTAACTATTTTCCCCTCTATTGCAATAGCAGGGGGGGGGGGGTAGTTAACAAGGCTTAGATGAAATGAAATTTATTGAAATAACGTCAACCAATAGGAATGCGAATTGAAATAACGTCAACCAATAGGAATGTGACAGAACACATTTCTGAGAAATACAAAACCGAGGGGGGGGGGGGAGAGATTCTTTACAAGGTACCATAGGGGGGGGGGGATAGTTAACATGATCCTTTTTAGGTCAATTTTTCCAAAAAAGGCCCTTATCGAGAAAATCCTAGATCCGCCCCTGCATACATCTCAATTAAAGTCTTCAAACTACATCTGACTATGAATGTTGTTTTATTTTTATAAATCAGAAAAGTTATGAGTAAGAGAGTTTTCGGCGGCGAGGGATTAGAATTGAAATGGATGAAATGTTTGTATAGAAAGGGCTCCTTAACATAATTTGTTTTCGCCTAAAATTTTTGATGTGATTTATGAACAACGAATTACTGAATTACTGTTTCAATTTAGGATTAATAGGCAAAAAAATATATCCTTGTTAAAAAATAACTCACAATGCGACGAAGTTAAATAAATTAGCGAACTTTCTATTTAGGATGGTTTAACTGCGTTGCATCTTGCGAGCAGAAACGGACACGAAGACGTCGTCGATTGTCTCTTACTGCACGGAGGAGGCGGAATGATCGAGTTTCGAAGCAAGACCAAAAGTGGACTCACAGCGCTTCATCTGGCTGCCCAGGCCAATGTCCCCGAAGGTCAGGATTGCACCCAGGGTCACATAGCATGTGGTAGATTACTCATATTCCACGGAATCCACGTGGACGAGATATCACGTGACCTGTTGACCCCGCTGCATATTTCGGCTCATTGTGGTCACGTGGCTATGGCGAAGTATTTGCTGCAGCATTATGCAAATCCAGATGCAAGAGCTCTCAACGGGTTCGCGCCGTTGCATGTTGCAGTCAGGAAACGCAGGATCCCTGTCATAATTTTGCTTCTGGAGTATTACGCAGATGTGAACATAAGCACAGAATCGGGTCTGACTCCGATGCACGTTGCGGCGTTTGTGGGCGCTGAACAAGCCATGCACCTGTTACTGAAGAGCGGGGCAGCTGTGAATGCTGAGAGTGCGCTTGGAGAGAGGCCTCTGCATCTGGCAGTGCGTGCGAACAATCTGAAACTAGCAGAGTTGCTGCTTTCTTGTGGTTAGTATCCGTTCTCAAATCATTTTATCAACAACGACGATTCATTATCTTCAATCATATCAGATTCTATACTTCTATGACTTTATTTTGGAAAGGTAGTGATGAGTCAAATTTGTGCAAAAAGTTTTCTTACTTTTGAGGATTTTCATGAGGATAATTGACCTTAAAATTCTTAAAAGTTACTCTGCGAATTTTTGCTTGGCTGTCAATTTGAGCAAGGCTCTGTATTTCTTGTTAACAGGGAGTGATGTGGATGCGAGGACAACTGACGGAGGTCAGACTTGTCTGCATCTAGCAGCCAGGGCCAACAGTACCCCTATGTGTGAACTTCTGCTGAAGCACGGAGCCAACCCCTCCAACTTTGCTTCCTCTTCTGGGGGTCACAGTGTGCTACACGCGGCTGCCAGGGACGGAGCTCTGGAGTGTGTCCAGATGCTGCTGCAGCGCGGAGTTGATCCCAACTGTCGAACTTTGGTATGTTATTTAATCCTTGTTTTTGACCAATTGAAATAAGATTTCTTAGCCATCATTACAAAAACAGTTTTCATTTTTTATCCAACCTAAGTCAGAAGATTCTGTGTTCAATTTTCGCGTACAATTTCGTTTAGCCAGTGATTAAATTAACTTGTTGAGACAAGAAATAATCTGTATTTGCGTGGTTTGAATCTCGTTGGCGGCTAAATCTTTTCAAATTTGAAAACTTTTCCTCTCAGAGATTGTTTTCTATTAAGAGTAATGAACTCAGTGAGTACTCTTATATATATATATATATATATCTTGGTGATTTTTTTTGTTGTTTTTTTTTACGCTCAATTTTGATTTTTTTGATGTTTTTGAATTTCAAAGAGCTTAAACGTGATTTATTTTTTCTCGGAAACTCGATATTTGCTCATAAAAATTCAGTCATTTTATTGCGACTTCGTAGACATATTTACAAACTGATTTTTACCCAACAGTCACTTTTTATTAGGAAGGGAAATTCACAATGTCGAGAAAAATTGCATCAATTTTTTTTTGCTTTTTTGACTGCTTTACCTCTGGGCTGATCAGAGAGGGGTGTGTGTATGCGTGTGTTCGTAGTCTTTAATCAAGTGAGAGCAAATTACTTTAGAAGCGGCAACTAGATCATTAAAAAATTCAAATATTTTACAACCTCCTACATCCATCAATTCTTACTTCTTACATGCACTCACCTAGTAAAAGCTGACCAAGTAGATTTGAGAAAATTTGGTCTTCTGGTTAATTTTATTTTTCACTCGAAAATAGCCACCGCACATTGAAGACCTGTAAGTCGCGATTCGAAAAAATTTCAAAAAACGTCTGTACCAGTGTCGAGAAAAGCCGGTTTGAAATTTTCGAGTTTGTCTGATTTCGAGTGAGTGAAGCAAGCGAGGAACGCTTGTTATATAAAAGTTGGTTTTTTATGCTAAGTGAATTTGATGATACTAAAAGCTTAACTTGTTTTGTAAGCTTGATAAAGCATTTCCATGGCAATAGAAAATTTTCAATTTTTTGTTTGAACAACAAAAATTTTCAATTTTTTGCACAATAAATAATTTTCAATTGTTTGGTTGTTTTTTCTTTTATGAAGACAACTTGTCAATTATATCTAATTCCCTAAAATTCTACGCATTCGTATGTGTCTCTCATCACACAATCCACAAAAGTCGATAATAATTCGAAGAAGAAGAGACTTTTTAGTAGTTTTTGTTAATCAATGTGGTCGGAAGATTGTGTTGCTTCCACAGCAATTGGGTATCCTTTGTTTTTTTTAATTGTCTATAATTTGATCTTCTCAAGCTGTAAATTGTGTTCGATTTTTCGCGGGAGCCGAGATTCCTTTGATTGTAAATTTTATTTGTCTGACTGGCATTTCTCTGCTTATGTTTTGTCGGCTTTCTTCCCAAAGCCTAGTCTTTTCGTCCCATGTGAGTTTTTTTTTTACCGTTATTGGAAGTCGATCTGTAATTTCTATATTCATTAACTCTAATTTTATCGAGTTTTTTTTCAATTTATCTCTCCCTAATTGGTTTCGGCGCAAGATATGTTGGCTTCGATATTTGTTGGCTTTTGTATGTTTCTGGGGGTTTGTGTTTTTGGTCTTCTTAGTTTTATTGGAAAGATCTTTTTCGGCTCAACGAACGTCCACCTAAGTATTGTTCGCTTAGTTGCTGCTCGGTAAAATGCTTTGAAGGGTTATTTAGATCGTCGATTTGGATCTCGATATTTTTTGGATCTCGATATTTTACGCAGGTTTTTTTTCTTATCGTTTCCATCTATTAGTTATGAGACAGCAATGAACGAAATAGATGTGATCCGAATTTTTTTTCTGTTTTAGGTCATTGTTTTTTATAACATTTGCAAAAAGGTTTTCCTTGATTTTTTTTTACGATTTCTTCAACAGAATTCATTCAAAGTTTCCTTTTGAGACATAATCTTTTAATTTTTCGCATTTTCTGTATCGCAAGTGGTGTAAATTAACTGCATCATTTTCTACGCCTGCGTTAACCAAGCCGTATGAAATCGGATTTTTAAAATGTAAATATCTTGGTTAACAAAATCACTGAATCGTTTTGTCAGCTTTCTTTAACTGTTACTTTTTTTGAGCATGTTTGCTTTTTAAATGCCCAACCTATTAAAATTCTTTTTTTTTTATCTTGGATGTAAAATTCAACAATTCCGGTTTTGTAAAGTTTTAGTTTTTAGTCGACGTTTTTTTTCGACTAAGACAGTTTGGGCTCATCATGCATCAGTTCATTGGCCTAATTTTGTGTCCTTTGAAGGGCGGAAAAAATTTTCTTTGCACGTGTGGGTTTCGAGGTGAACTCAGTTTTAAAACACTTTAAATACCTGATTTTGTCAAAATTTTCTGCAGCACATGGTAAACTAATCTGAATCGGAAAATCAAGAGCTCAGATTACGGAGCTACTGTTGGGCTTCGCAGCAGTTGAGGAAAACATTTTAATTAGAACTCAGCTATTTCCTATCATTGGGAGTTTTAATTAAAAATTCCTTAAATCAGCATCCTTTGTCGATTAATTGTGTCTGCTGTTGCGGGATTCATTTGGTTTGAAATCAAAAGTCACCTGCGCTATTTTTGTTATTGCTCAAATAAAAACCCGGAGGCAAATTAGGCAAGCTCCGTAAACCTGTACAGAAAATCCACCCAACTAAGCAGTCAATCGATGCTGTAAATTAAGGTATTGTTCGACGTGCAATTGCTTGGAAATAAAGAAGGGTAGATATTGGAAAATCAATACCGTCCCTTCATTTGAAGGAAACTAACTATGCGTATGCAATCTGGCGAATACGGGAACTGATGTCATGTTCAGAAAGTCTGTTTGTTTCTTTTAGCTTTTTCATGCTTCCATATTTGAAATCAAGATTTTGAAAGAACAAATAATTTTTTGTTGTCGTTTTTTTGAAATCGTTTGTTTCTTGATTTTTGCTTTTTCATGCATCCAACTTTGAAAACAAACGATTTTTAAAGAACAAATAAATTGTTTGCTGCCGATTTTTTTGAAATCGTTTGTTTCTTGATTTTCGCTTTTTGATGCTTCCAAATATAAAATTGAAAGATTTTAAAAGAACAAAAAATTTAATGTGCTAATGAAAAATGGCAAAAGAACTGCATGAATAAACATAATTTCGGACTGTAAGCGGGCTGAGAAAAGCGACTGATAGTTTTTTAAGGCTGAAAAATTAAATGGCGTAAACCACGTGCTGTAACTTTCCATGAATTACTGCTGACGTATCCTTGTCACAGGGAATTTCCTGTTAAGCAATGGACACAAAAATATTCCATGCGTAAATGTACTTCACTAATGTTGATCGATGATATGACTCTGAGTCCATTTGTTTGTTCTTATTTTTTGGTATGGATGTCATTGTAATTTTAAAACTAGCTTGTAGATTGATTAACTTCAGAGCCGTCTGACATGCTAATTTTCTTAAAAACTGGAAAAGAAGTGCATTTTTAGCTCATCATAGGTAGTAATTAATTTAATCAAATAAACTCCTTGAAAATGAGTTTTTTTTTGGATTCGTGGTTTTCGTCCTAATTTCCGTCTCCTCGGTTTGCGTTTTTTAAAAGTTGTTTATTACACAAGCAATGCTTGTGTTATGCGATAAAATGTGTTCATTTTGAAAGTGTTCATTTTGATCAATAACCAGCTATTAAGTACAGCCAATGCTAAGGATTTTAACACAGAGTATTATTGTTTCGACTTTCGAACGGAAAAAACGGAATATTTGTGCTCGGGTAGTTTTTTTCTTCAGACAAATTTCGACTTTTTAACTAGCCATTTTTGACGGGATTTTTTTATTATCATTCAAGGATTATTCTTGTCCTGAGCTTAAATATTTTGCCTGTTATCATTTTTTCGTAAAGTCATGGGGGTAAAAGATTGGCATTTCGGCCAATTTGGGACAATTAATGCGCGATATGTTTCGCGCTATTAACGCGTAAGCGGAGATTTAATCCGTCATAGAAATCGTTCCAAATTGTTTGAAGGAAGCTTATTTGCCATAATTGATTTGATACAAGGAACGAAATCTATCTTTTTGTATTTTATATGCCGTGTGGGGGGATGATTTTTATAAATTTCAAATTAAAAAAAAATTTAATTTTATTTTATTTCATTTAATTTTTTCATGCTTTGACTGCTCTATAAATTGAGGCATGTTAGTTGGTAATTTTCTTTTTTTTTCAAATTGACTGAAACTGCTTATGCGTGACTCAAGAAATTTTGCAGACTCGAAATCTTAGTCATTCAGTTTTTCCAGTAGCAGTGTTTTCGGCTTGATGTGAGATCAAGACCCAATTGTTTGCCTTAGCTGCCACTTGGTAAATGATTAGTTACCAAATTTTGAGAAATTTCTGCATCTCATCTGAGGCAAAGGAATGAAGTTTTTGTAGATGTACATATCGACTTTTTTAAAGTTACATCTAGAAGAAAACTTATCGACATCCGTCCTTTTTTATTCGCTTGTTTTTGATTTACCTAGTTTGAGTTACCGAGTTTTTTCAATGTAGACATTTTCTTTACATTTATTGCGTTCAGTTTTTTTTGTTTTTAAATAAATCAATTCGGTTTATTTCAGTTTTAATTTTTTTTGAAAAGTGTTTTCTTTTTTTAAAATGAAAATATATATTCAGTTTTTTTTTTTCTTGAAACAAAAAAAAAATAATTTTTTTATTTTTTTCTTCGTTGTAAAAAACTTGATAATGGTTTTTAGGAAAATCTTTTTTTAATCAGTTTTTTGGAATTTTTTTTGAGATTCTGTGAAGATTTAAGTGCAAATATTTGTTTAAAAATTTGAAATTTGAAACCAGTTTGAGCTGTTTGTGCCTCATTTCGTACGCTTCTAATGCTTGTTTTTTTAAAAATTTAAATGTAACACAAAAATCCTTTTTCCATTTTCATTTGTCAGCCCTAAGTCTTTCTCTTCTTTTACCAGGTAATTTATTGTTAACTAGTAATAAAGGTATTTAGTTACCTTGAATTTTTGAAAAAGGTTGATTTAATTGAAATTTTACTCTTAAAATTTTTTCAATGAAAGGCATTTGCTTAAATGTATACCAACTTTTAGTGTCTTTCACCTATGAAGTTTTTGTAGGGTTTTGAATTTAAAAAAAAAAATATTGCTGATTGTTATTTGACTGTCTGAAAGTTTTTGCTTTGTTCAGCTATTCATTATGCATTTCAGAGCATAAGATCTGTAGCCCAGCGTTTGAGCAAAATGTTTTTTTTTGGGTTGTTCCGACCACTCCTTAATAAAAGTCTAAAGCAACTATAGTGTGGAGTGTTTTCCTGAATTTGAAACCCTTAGAGAAAGCTCATAATACGATTTTAAAGTCGTGATTTGGATTTCAAAAACAAATCCAAAAATGTATCTCAGCTGTGAAGAGAACAATTGGTCTGAAAAGAATTTTAGGAATGAAGCGATAGACGTTCAATATAATTTACTGCCATATATGAATTTTTGTAGCTATAATTTTTTTTTGAACACTTTTCAAATTAATTGCAGTTACTTTCACGTACGACCTTCCCAATTTCTTTGAAAATCATACGAAACTAGTGATTTCGTTTAAGGCAGTTTTTAATTCAGTAGCGGATTGGGGGGGGGGACGCGACTGGGTTGAACCCCATCTAAAAGTTTTCTTAAAGCCCCTTGGGCGTCAATATTTTATAATTTTAAGAGGAAGCGCGCGCGAAAAAAAAACGTGACTGAAAATTTTGGCCTATTTTTTTTTAAATTTCACTTGCGGCGCAGAAATTTTTGTCAAAATATGGTCTTTTTTTGATTTGGGAGAGCTCAGAAAATCAATTTGGACGACCTATAAAAAAGGTCAACAAAATTTTCGTATTTTTTTCAAATACCCCTTCGAGAAAATCTTTCATGCGCCCCTGAATTAATTATTTCAATTTGACTTTACTTTCTTACTTTCCTTTGTTTTTTTTCAGAGTCGTTGGGCGTAGTTATAGGTAGGTCATGTTGATTTTTTTTTCGTTTTGGAGGTCTTTAAATGGTCTAATAACAAAGGATATGAATTCATACTTTAGTGCTCATGAATGCGCTAAGGTATATGTGTTTTTTTTTAGTTTATTTGCTTGAAGGCAAGTAAAATGCACTCCAATTCTGAAAGCTGAAAAAGCGTGAATAATTGTGATCGATTTCTAGTTTCAAAAGTGGAATATAATTTTTTAATTTCTCAGTGAAATAAATTTTTTTTTCTCATAATCCAGTTTTTTTTTTCAAAATGGATAAATTTTTTCATAAATGTGCCAATTATAAATTGCTCTTGAATTTTAAATATCTTCAAGAGCTTTAATTGAAATTCGAAAAGTTTTTTTCTAATCATTTTTAACAAGTCAATTTTTTGTTCTGTTTCATTGCATTCATTGACTCTTTTCCAACTATCTGTTGGCTATGTTTTAATATGCCATTTTGCATTATCTAGTACCTTTTTTTAATGGCCTACTTCGCAAAGCATGGATTTTCATTCTGATCTAAACTGTTTTTACTGTAATGGAAAGTGTTTCTGTATTTTGTTAGTTTACCAACTCTGATTTTGAATTTTTTTTGTCCATTAAACAGTTTATGCAGTTATATCGGTTAAGTCATGTTCTATTACTTAGTTTACAGAGCTAAATTTTTTCTTATACTTTTTGTTTTGAAACCGTTTTGTCGTAAAACAATTGAGTTGGAAAACTTTTTTGCCATAAACTTTCAAACAACAGTTTTGATTTTGGCTTGGGTAGACCCAGTTCTGGCGGCTTAGTTGCTGCTCGGTGAATGGTTATCAATGCATTTTTCAAGGTTGTTGACGGATTTCATGATACTGACATATGAAATTGTTTGTGGATGTCGTTTTTTGCAACTTTTCAATTGATTTTTCAACTCATCTTCATTGCCTAAATTTTGGAAGTGAAGGCACTTATTTTTCACAAAAGTGTTTCCACATTTCTAAACCTGTAGTATCAATGTGTGCAAAGTCTCGATAGGAGGGGATTTTCAATAAAAAAGACTGTTTTTCAAAAAAGACAAAAAAAAGAGGGGGTTTTGATCTGTTCAATTGTTTATGATTGAATTGCATTTTCAATTATTTAAGTTGGTTTTTTTTCTCTCAGGAAAAAGCCGCAAAACTTCTTCTTGATCGAATTAGATTTTTGCTATTCGAGTTTTTTTTTGTTTTAGATTCAGTTGAAATTGATTTGCTGAAAAAGGAATACAATTAAGGCTCCCCAAGAAAGTGAAAATGGCGCGAAAAACGGCAATGACATTGTTTTTGAGAACTGATCAAAAAAGTTCCGAACAGAATTTTTTTGATCTTATTTTCTCAAAGTATAAATGTCTCAAAGTTCTCAACTATAAATGCGAGGTGGGGGAAAAGGGAAAAGCGCTTCACTTTATTTTTTTTTTCAGAAGGGGGGTGAGCTGACTGCACTGCATCTTGCAGCCAAATACGGCCACATGGAAGTGTGCAGACTTCTGCTGGCACATGGGGCATCTCCGGACATAGCCGCCACCAGTGCCAGCTGTTTCACCCCACTCCATCTGGCAGTGATGAATGGACACAGTGATGTGGCCGCTCTTCTTCTACAGTCAGGAGCATCTGCTAACTCTATAGCAGCAGTACGTAACTTTCACTCTGTTACAGTAACTACCCCCCCCCCCCACCCCACCCCACCGTTCTCCCTCTTTTTGTGATTTTTAATCCATGAAAATTACGTTAACACTGACCGATTTCTACACCTGTGATTTTTACCCAATGAAACTTGCGTTATCATTAACTGATTGTTTTGGAAATTTGGACTGCTTGGTTATTGCTCAACTCCAAACTCATGAATAGTGTTAACAGGTGATATGGAGTGGTTGAACAATTAATTATTACTCATTTTGCTTGCTAGTGCAGCATAATATTACTCATTATGCTTTAAAATATTATTCCATTATGCTAGTATTACTCATTATGCTTTGAAAGATGATATGGATTGTTTGAACAGTTAGTTATCACTCATTATGCTTGCTACTGTGCGTATTGCTGGTGACATCAAAAAAGTGTCAATCATAAAATGTTCTAGAGATTCAAAGAGCTTCTAGGCCAACTATTTTTTTCTTTGGCTGTTTTTTTTTCTGCTTACTTGCGTTCATTGACTCTTTTCCAACTGTCTGTTGGCTGTGTTTTAGAATGGTCTCTCGCCACTGCATATGGCAGTGAGTAGGAATTCGGTAGAGATGTGCCAGCGACTGGTGGACCAGGGGGCATTCCCAGACGCACAGACCAAATGGGGCGAGAGTCCAGCCCACACTGCAGCAAGACTTGGCTTCCTCGAAATGCTCAAGTTCCTCTATCAATACTGTGACGCGAATCTCTACATAGCATCGCCGGTCAGTAACATACAAATTATTTTGATACTTAGGTCGCACGTGGCAAGAATACCGGCTAATTCTTTTCATTTTTGAAAGCTTATTGTTCCGACTATTTGAAAAATGTGGAGGAACATTGTATTCGTGTGTGTTTTAATTTTTTCTTTTTGTTTTACACGTTAAATCAGATACCACAAATAATCATCGGAATAGGTTGAGCGACTTTTCACATGAAAGCCTTTTAAGTCTTGATTCGAACGACATTTAAATTGAAAACTGGTTTGAAATTTTTGGTCTAATTTCGAGCGAACAAGGTGAGCGTTCATGCTTACAATAGCTTATTTATGCTAAATTTATGCCCCGAAAACTTAATTTTAAGCAAGTAAAATTAGTTTTTCGAGTTTTTAGCGCTATTTGGGGAACCAAAAACTTCAAAAAGCTCAAAAGTTTTCTGCAAAAAAAAATGGAAATTGAGTTTTTAAATTGTTTTCACTATTTCTGTTTCGTTTTTATAGCCATTTTTCTTTAAAAAAACTGTTTTCCAATTGTCCTGTTTGACTATGATTGTCGCATTTGCCTAATTCCTATTTTTTTGTTCCGATTTTTTAGCACGCAAGTCACTTTTTTGAAAAAAAAAGTGGTTCTATTTTTTAATACTATGCTCGGATCATTCTGTGCTACTTGCATCCTTTTTTCTTTCCCGATTAATTTTAAAAGATTTTTCCTATGCACTTAGCGCTTTGTTCTAGATAAGCACGATGCTCTTCCAGCTAGTGAGCGAGTGTCAAATTAGGAAGTCAATTTTTTCCACCCAAGTCTCAAATAAAAGTGCTCTTTCAGTGGCAAGATTGCTAACATTAGCATTGAAAATTTAATATCATCTGTTCTCTGCTTTATTGGTTGCTCGCCAATTTTCAAGCTATGGTAGCGCACATGCGAGGACGTGAGACTCCTAAGCTACAGGTCAGCGTTTCGTCTCCAGTGCATATCCAAGTTTAAGTTTTTCAAGGCTTATTTTAACTTTTTCAAGGCTTTATTGGTGGCTAGAGTTTGTCAATTATCAAAATACTGTGGAGCAGATGCAAGAATGTGAGACTAATAGTCTGCAAGTTTCCTGTTAGATTCCGGGAGAGAGCAAAACATTTTTTTGAACCTTTTTTTTTCTTTGTTTGAGTTATTACCTTTTTAGGTATAGTTTTTGCTATTTTCACGCCAGTGTTAGTGAAGTGCAGCTTCGCATCTGTGGTACTCTAGGGACTATGCACCATGTTGTAGACTTTTTTCACCATAAATAACTTTTCTAACTGAGTTCGCACGTAATATGTTACGTGCTTCATAATATATTCAAATCAAAAAACCTTTCTGCGCAATAAAGATGCTGCGACACAAAGATGCTGGGTTCGTTCGCTGTCGGACTATCTTTTTTCTGCTTAATTTTTGGCTCACCTTTCAGAAGTATGAATTTGAGCCAAAAATTGAGCCGGCTAGATCTCTACAATGCTGCACCGGATCATCTTAAACAATTTGTAGCAAAAAGAAGAGATGATTATCTGACTCCCGTTTTTTTTGCCGCATGTCTATTAGATCATCGGTATGAGGGCAGAAAGTTAGAACTGAACGAACTGTAAAAAAACAATAAAACATGCTCTTTATTTAAAAAAAAAACGCCGTTCAATTGATTTTTTCAATAACAAACGTTTTTTTTTCCAGCCCTGGTTTGTTTGCCTCAAAATACCTAGTTTTAAAGTGGAAATATATTTTATGCGTTTGTTCTTTGGTGGCGGTAGCGGGGTAAAAACTCGTAACATTTTTTTTTCGCCTCAACGACCGCCGTCTACCCGATTATTGTCTGCTTAGTTACCGCTCGATAACCTTTATTTTAAGAGTAGTAACTTTACCACTAGAAATTGTGATTTTTAACACGTGGTCCTCACTTTGATTTTTACTCGAGGCAAAGAAACAAAAATTATGGTTGATGTTTTTCGACTCAGATTTTCTGTTTTCTTTCGGCTAGCTACCGTGTTATTTTTGTTCTATCGTAAGTGGTGCAAAACTCAGCTTCGCCTGTGTGTGCAATTTTAAATATCCTTTTTGCTTGTGTTTGCGGAGTCCAGTTTCGTGCTTTATGGTTAATTTAGGGTTCTGACCAGGATTGCAAAGAAATGAATGATATGCACCATGTGGTCTTATTTTTATGACAGAACCGGTGAAATAATTGGTAGCCTCTCAGTTATTTATACTTTAATGTTGAAATGTTTAGCCCATGCATGTAGTAAAAAGCGCTCAAATTTTAATGCTGAGAAGTTGTGCTAGAGTTGTATGAATGTCATTTGGGCTTCGGATTTTGAAAAAATCGATACTTTTTTCAGTTTCATTGATGTTTTCCCAAAAGATTCAGTAGGCTACCAATGTGCATTTTTGTCTTTTAAACAGCTGATATTGACATGTACTCTTAACAGGATCATTATAATTTTACATGTATGCTTTGGGTGCGTTGCAGACTTAAAAAAATTGAGTTAGTCTCTTGGCGCACGGTATGTAATCTACCTACTTTGATGGTATTAACGGTAAAGTGCAGACATAAAACAAGCCACCCAGGAAAGTATCCACTTGGATTGGGCTCACAACTACACGGTTACATATCGATTATTAGAAAAATCAATATTTACTGGATTTTGTTCTCATGCATTTGTTTCCGTTGAATTTTCGACAATTGTGGTTTAGTTATGTACTCTGGGCATAAATCTGTCATGTATATATTGGTTAATTGGAAAATTCAAGTTAAAGATAAAAGCGAACAAAGATAGCTGGTTGCTGTGCATGTAGCACAGAATGTTCCGACTACGCGAATCTTTGTAACAAAATTTGAGAACAGAAAACGTATTTTGAATTTATTTTCAAAATTAATCTTGATTTTTTCACGGTCAGACTTATAGTTTAGGTTTTTTAAGTGGTCAGAACAATAGTTAAAGCTAACTTATTTAAAAAACTGACCTAACGGAACTTGATTTTAAGTGAATCTGGAGTGTTAGTTTGCAATAAAAACGTGTTTAGCTTGGAGTGACTCCCCTTCACATGGCGGCACAAGAAGACAAAACAGTCGTCTGTCGATTCCTCATCGAGGAGTGCAGACCATTCAAAGGGTCCGGTATCAACAACCCAGTCGAAATGCGAACTAAGTCTGGCTATACAGCCTTACACATGGCAGTTTATCACAACTGCGTATCCACAGTTCTCTATCTGCTCCAGTGCGGAAGATGCAATCCTAACTGGCAAACGGGAGTTGCCGGATACACGCCTCTGCACGTTGCGGCCCAGCAGGGAAACACGTCTCTGGCGCAGTATTTGCTGAGAGCGAATTGCCAGCCAGATTTGAGGACAAACTGTGGCGCCACGGCATTGGTAATTGCGTCCAAGTTGAGATATGTAACGCTTGTGGATCTACTGAAGAGAGTGACTACTACACCTGTAACACTAACACCGGTTAGTGAATCTTAAAACAAAAATTCAATAAATCCAACTTAGATGGCAAGATTATCCATCTCGGATTTGGCGCGTGTTCGAACATTTGAAATATCGTTTTTTAAGAGTAAAAAAAATAGTATATTTCTTTCGAAATGGATATTTCGAAATTCGTAATAGTTTAGAAGATATCGTAAATTTTTTTTCGCATTTTTTAGGAAATTGAGAACGAAATCCGATCTTTTCGAACTCCTGAATCGATCCAAGACGCGACTCAATGGGGAGAGAATGTTGTTGGTGGACAGAACAACATCGCCGAACAAGAGGACGAAATTGACTACCCTGAAACAGAAGACATGAACTGCTTCTTAGCTCCTGCAGATCTCCAGTTTCTGACTAAAGATGCAGATAACCTTCCCCTATTGAGCGCTGTCAGTACCAGGTCTCTCCCAAGGAGCGGAACTCAAACTCCGACACAGTTCGAATCATACGCCTCGTTTAACAAATACCTTTCTCCGAACCGCGGTGACTACGGAAGTCGCCCTCCATCGGGAACTAGTAATATATCGGGGTACACTACGACATCTTATGGAGACAACTTGTTACTTTCACCCGTCAATGCCGGAAGTTTGATGGCAAGATTATCCATCTCGGATTTGGCGCATGTTCGAACATTTGAACAGCAGGTTCCGAGTGATAATGTGGAAAGTATGCCAAATAAATTGTCAGCAGCTGGTTTTCTGATCAGTTTTGTCGCAGATGCGAAAGGATGCCGCATGCGCGCTGCGCGAGGAAACAGGCTTTGTTTTATAATTCCAGCTCGTAGTTGTGAGCAGCCTCAACGAATCACATGTCGACATGTAAGAAGACATAAACTGATTGCTCCACCGCCTTTGGCGGAAGATCAAGCATTAGCTGCTCGAGTACTCGAATTAGGTCCTGTAGGATCTAAATTCACAGGGGGTCCAATCATAGTGGAAGTTCCGTATGTTGCGTCCTTGTCAAACGGTGAACGAGAGATCGCGGTGTTTACTTTTTCACCGAAGCAATCGGGCGGCGAGTGGACGGAACACAAGCAACCTGAGATCCAAGCCAGGATAAAAATGCTGCTGGACAGTCATTTGGAAGACCAGAAGAGCCCTAATTCTCGACGGAGCTCGGGAACTTTTGGTTAGTTGAAATTTTGAGTTCTTTTTATTCAGTTTGCTGGGATGGAAGTATTTAAAAAAATACTGATTTTCTAAAATTTCTCAACTCATTGATAATGTTAGTCCAAACAACATTTTTTTGGCATCCAGCTGCATAAAAGGAATGTGGTTATTTTTTAAAATTAAAAGTTGTGCGATTTTCCCACTGCATGTTCCTGGAAGACTCTAAAAGAAACGATGTATGCTTCTAGGGGAATCCTCCAAATCCGATGATTCCAATCCCGATCAGAGACTAGAAAGAGTCATTCTAACAGAGATTCCCCAGTACATAGCACTCGTCAGTCGCCTCAAGAAAGACAAGGCCGACATAACTCCACTCGGTGGAATAATTTCGTCATCGGTCGAAGCACGAGTTCAGCTCTCGTTTCCGGAGAAGGCGGTAAAGAAAGACGTCAAAATATCTCTCCACGTTCTACGCATCAGATCCGATATCATCTCTAGGCTGTTGACTAATCCACAAGGCTTAGTAACTGCGAGTAATATGTTCCATTGCAGCCCCGTTGTAACAATAGAACCGAGAAAGAGACAGTTCCACGAGAGGTTTACGATCTGTGTACCGTCTCCCATTCCAGGCGTGGAGAACAACTCGGGATCCTTGCCCAGACGTCCGTCCTTCGGAGCACAGTCGGGAGGAATAAGACTTCTAAGAAGCGTGACTGGTTAGAATTAACAGTTTACTAGGACAGAAAATCTGTATTTTTTTTTTACTCTGCATGAAATTTTATTGGCTGATTGTTCAATTGAGTAAGATTTGTTATTTATGCACTGCACAAAACTAATCAGTCAATGAAGTTATTGTGACGCTACGGCGTCATTTTATCAAAAATTTTGCGGGGTTTCTACATTCAAATATACGGAAGTACATTTTATCTTAAAGAGTCGATGAACGTAGTTCAGACTCTCATATAAGTCGTGATGATATATAATTAGTTTTTATTTCTAAAAAGTTTTTTTGGCTCAACTTAAGTTTTTCGCGGTTTGACTTTAATTCATTCAAAAAGTTTCCCTTTTAAAATTAGTGAAACTCTACTTTAGAACAGCAAAATTGTAAAGGTTGCTAAAAACGTGATCGACCTCTAGTTAAGAGTAATGGACGTAGTCAAGACTTTTATATAGGTCTTGGTGATTTTTTTTTTGCGATTTCGCCTTTGATTTTTTCGTGCTGTACATTTCTATTGTTAAAAAGAAAGCAAACTCCACTATCGGACAGCAAAAGTGTAAAGGAATTGTAAAACGTGATCGACTTCTAGTTTCGAAAGTGTAATTTTCAGATTTCCCAGCGGAATTAAAAATTTTTCTATTGATCCAATTTTCTCAAATTGTGTTAATTTTTATCAAAAAAAAGCGCCATTCATAAACTATTCTTGAAATTCGAAGAGTTTTAAGGCATTTATTTTTTCTTAGAATTCGAAAGTTGACTTTTTTTTTAGAAAACATCTGTTTTTTTTTCTGTTTCCTTGCGTTCATTTCTTTTTTCCAACTGTCAGTTTTCTCAAATTGGGGTTATTTTTTTAATCAAAAAACAGTTTTAGAAAGGTTGCGAAAAATTCTACAAATTCGAAAAGCTTCGATCCGACTATATTTTTGATATTGAAAATCGATGTTGGCTATGTTTAGACGTTGAAAACCAGTTTACGTCATGATTGCAATTGTTTTGAAATTTTACTCATTTCGAAAGCTTGCTTAGAAAAACGTTTTGCTTACCAATTTGCTCTTTGAATTAAACTGAAATATTTTAAGTTTCATCTAAGGAAAACTTTAAAACTGTTTTGAAATTAATTCGTATCTTGAAAATACTTAAATTATTTTGAATTTTTATCGCTTCTAATGTTGCTGAGAACGTTTTTTCGTTAACCAATGTCTTGTACGAATTAATATCAGTTTTCGAAGAACCGATTTGCTATACGAAATGACTTGCCCTATCTCAAAATTTCATGAATTCCATGGGTTGCTTAGGATGCATTTTCAAACGAAATCGCTCATTAAGTTTACTTAATTAGCTTTTTTAGCTTCACAGTTTAATGAGCGATTGCAGTTTTTCATCTTCAATGAGAGAGTTGAAGTTATTCATCCTTAAAAACGGATTAAACTACTAGATTATCTCAGAAAATTTTCAACTTTGGTAGCTTCACTTGTGATCGCTTTTTTTCCGAATCTATTCAACCAAGGTTTTCATTTATTTTAAAATTTCTCTGCTTCCATTCGTGGATACGAAAAAAATTTCTCAAAACAATTCGCTTCATGAAAGATATTGAATGTTTTTTGAAATTTCATTGCTTCAATAGCTTGCTTAGAAAAACTAATATTTTTTGGGAACCGATTCGCTCTATAAAATAATTTGATTAATCAATGTCGTCGATTCAATAGCTTGTGGTGCAAATCATTTTAGGTTTTTTTTTGAGTCGACTAAGCAACTTATGCTTGACTTATTTCAAAGTGTTATCGACTGTTACCGAGCCGGCTCAGCTAAGAAAATAAGTAAGAATTGATTCAAAGATTGATTAAGAGTAACGAAGGTAGCGAAGACGCTTTTCTTTAATTTTGATTTCCATTTAAAATCATTTAATTTCCTTTGTTGAAAGGAAGGCAAGCTCCACTATCGTACAGCAAAAATGTAAATATCACGAAAACCGTGATCAACTTGTAGTTTCGAAAGTTGATTTGAATGCTTAGATTTCCCAACGGAATTAAAAATTAACCTATTGATCCAGTTTTTTCAAATTGCGTTAGTTTTTATCAAGTTGGTGTTTTTATGGTTCCTTAAGACATGCATAAATGGTTCCTCAATTTTATCAAGTTAGTGTTTTTATGGTTCCTTGAGTTCATTTCCCATTTCCTACTATCAGTTGGCTATGTTCGTTTTATAATTTGCTATAATTGTTTTACGAACCTTTTCAAGCTTTAAAAATCACAAGTTCCGTCACTCCAATAAATAGCTTGAAAAGCTTTGACTATTACGGAGCCGATTAAGCTTAAGAACTACTTAGAGTTTTTCAAAGTTTTGTCGTTTCTTTAACTCATTTGAAAAAATTGACTTCAGACGTGTCTATTGAGCTACGAAAACAAGTTAAAATGGTTTCACAATTGATTGTTCATTTACGTGCTTGAATATTTTCAACTTTGTGCGAATTTTTGAAGCAACTTTGAAATTCTTCACTTATATCGCTTTGTGCTCGACTGAATTTTTTTCAGTGTTTCCCAGATTTCCAGTCCAAAGATTGACCAGTCCAAAGATTTAACACAAAACAAAGAATATTTAACCTTATGCTAATCAATTCAATCTAAACAAAACCACCTGGAATTATTTTACTTGCGAGAGCAAGTGTCTTGTAATTGGGAACTAGACTTTTCACGTGAACAACTTTTCTTTCAGGACAGACAATAAATAACACAGTGAGAAATTGTGAAGTGGCTTTATTAGTAAACCTCGGCAACTTTGAGACTTCTCACTTGGCCTAAAGATAACGCGGTTGCTCTGTACCCCAAAGTCTGGGGCTCGAGTCCTGTCCTGACCTTTTTTTATGTTGTGCATGAAATTTGAAGTTTGTCGGGGAAAAGTTTTCTGACCTACGTTTGTCTGCTTGTCTTTTGTCGGCCAAATTGTTGAAGTATCTTGTTCTGTCATCAATTTTTATTGTAGATGCAAGTAATTTTGATTTGCAACTGTAGTTAGTAAAATTAAAAACCATGACGTTATTTATTTTTCTGGGTTTTCCTGTTTTTGCTTAAAAGCTTTATTCGGCCTAGATGGTTTCGACTCATGTTTTATCGACTTTCTTACTTGATTTTGTGTCGCCTCTAACGCAAAAAGGTCCTTTTTTAAATAAATCAGGTAGTTTGTTTTGTAAGATTTCAAAATTGTAAAACTTAATTGTTTGAACTTAATTTTTGTTTTCGGCTGAAGGGGCGTTTACCCAGTTGTAGTTCGCTTAGTGACCGCTCGGTAAATTTTTAACGCTTATGTAATACTGGTGACCGTGTTTTTCGACTGTTTTTCTGAAGTTATAATCTTCTTTCTCAAAAAATTTTGGTGTTTCTCTATTTTGTTATTTCCATCTCATTTTATTCGCAATGCAGCGCTTCCGTCGTGTTCGCTAGCTTTGCTTCAGTTGTCGGCTTGAAAAATTTGGAAGAACCCAAGCTTTGCAAACACGTTCAAAATTTTTCGACTATTCTTCGCTTGAAAAGACCGCTTGAATGAACGTAGTGAAGACTCATAGATCTTGATGAATTTTTTTGTTTTTCTTTTCAGGGAAAAAGTCTCAAAATGTTCTAATAACTACAGATATGCATTCATAAATAACAATGCATTTATGAATGCACTTGCTAATATACTCAACTTTGAGTTCTTTTGAAATTCATTTGCTCAAAATTACGTAAATAGCACTCCCAAATACGAACGTGGAAATGGAGCAAAAAAGGTTAAAATATTTGGTTTCAAAAATGGAGTTTAATTTTTAGGCTTCGATAGTTAAGTTTTTTGAGTGAAGCTAGTGTTTTCCTTGCGTTTATTATTTTTTTCCAACTGTCAGTTGGCTATGTTTGATTTTAATCTAACCAATTCAATGTATTTGAATATATGATAACTTCATCTTTTTCAATAGATGTATATGATGATAGTTTGCGGGAAAATTTAATTTTTCTGCAAACTGATGCAAGCTAATCAAGCGACTTGGAATCGTTTCAAAATTTCATCACTCTAATAGCTTGCACCAAAGAACTTCAAACTGTTGCGAGCCGGTTCCAGCTGTCGAAACAGCTTACAATCATTCTTCTGCGGTTAATCCTGCGAACTGGTTAATCTATTAGATAGCGGTTAATCTATAATTTTCTTGCGGTTAATCTATGAAACTTGGAACTTTTTCCATCTCGTCAATAGCTTGCGTGAAAAACTCACTTTTTTGAGAACAGAATCAGTCCATGGAAGCAACTTGAATGTTATAAAGTTTCATTGCTCGAATATCTTGATTTAAAAAACCTTGCTCCAAGCTATTACGAACTGATTCAACATATGGAAGCAACTCCGATTTTTTTTTAAATTCATTGCTTGCACTTATTCATACATTTCAACAAATTGAATTTGAGATAATCTAAAGCGATCTAAGTATTTTTACATTTGCAAGAGTAAGTGTCTTGTAATCTGTAAGTAGACTTTTCTCCCGTAAACAATTTTTCTTAAAAATCTTCAACTTGCTTTATTATCGAACTCTTACAACTTTCCGGTTTCTTCCCACTTGGCTTACAGGTAACGCTGTCGCCTTTGCATCCTATGGTCTGTGGTTTGAGTCCCGGTCGGACGTTGCTTTTTTCAGTATCTATGCAATTGAAATTTTTTTCCGTTAAAAATTTATTTGTCGGAGCTTCGAAGGATTTTTCATTGTAGTTGTTTTTTTTTGTGTTTTTTTTATCTGCTTCATAAATATGTATTTTCCAATCATTCAACCTAATTTGGTAAAATAGTTAGCATGTTTTATTATGAAATAAGAGTAACGCTTTTTTTTGTATCTCAGGCGGAACAAAAAGATCAAAGAGAAGCAGCTTTGTTTCGAATTCCGCAACAAATATTTTTCCAGGCTTGTTGCGGAAATCGAAACAAACACGAAAAGGTACGGTTTGGCCTCTGCCGCGCCTCTTTGAGATTTGAGATGCCGGGTCAATTTTCACGCTTCATTTTCTGACTCTGGCATCTTTACTTAAACTGAGTATTAACTAACAGTCTTGACTAAAACTGGCTGGCTGTTTCTCTTTTTAAATGGCAATCTTTTTTGGCTTTACTCGATCCAAAGAATTTTCACTCATCGTGCTAGTTTTTAATTATTGTAAAATTTGTAGATTCTATTCATCCGGCCGTGTGGGAGGACATTACGGACCAAACGAGGCTGGGAGAACTGCAGAACGGCTGCGTGACCTTTTCCAGCAAAGTATCCGCCCGTTTCTGGCTAGTCCACTCCCCCAAACCCCGCTCCACTCCAGAACTGCTGAAGATAGCCCACGCAGTTTACAATGAGGCCATCAAAGTACCATATATGGCCAAGTTTATAGTGTTTGCGAAGAGACACGCGGAGAATGAGGCGAGGCTGAGGCTGTTCTGCGTCACAGACGACAAACACGAGGGAGTGATGTCAGGAAGCACTCTGGAATCACAGGAGAACTTCACCCAGATTGCAAAAAGCAGAGATGTTGAGGTGAGTTTCTGGAACTACATGTTACATAATGAGCTGCATGCAATGATTTACTTGTTTGGTTGTCAAGCTTATTACACAGCTGCAGCTGCGTGGTTATAGAGTTGCCAGTTGAAAATGGCTCTGTGGAGGCGTTGGCCTGCTCAATTTTGCAAAATCTCAAATTATTTTATGCTCACTAGCCCGTAATTATCTTTATTCAAGCTCACTCTACCGCTCTATCATTGGTACGTTTTTCTATAATCATTGTGAGTTTTAAGGGTTTTTCGCCCTTCTTTTTCTTACGGGTAAAGGGGTTCGGATCAATTTTTGTCTCGCCGGCTTGTTTTCACAAATAGTTCCGTTGGAGCTCAGAGCGATAAGTTAACATAGTTACTATGTCCAGTCGGTAATGGTTGTTTTGTAGTTCTTGTTTTGTGCTTTTATACTGATGCTGCTTTTTTCCGCATGCAAGGAAACTTGACGGTGTTGCCAAATTTTTTTTTTGAAACTGGGCGTTTTTTTAGTATAAACTAGGTTAGAAAATTGGTATTAAGAGTAATGAACGTACTTTTTCGCGGTTTTTCTTTTGATTTCTTTTTGATTTCAGTTCATTTTTTGTTAAAAGGAAGGCAAACTCCACTATCGAGCAAAAGTGTAAATGTCACATAAAACATGATCGACTTCTGGTTTCGACCACGGATTTTAATGTTCAGATTTCCCGGTAGAATCAAAAACTTACCTTTTGATCCAGTTTTCCCAAATTGGATTAATTTTATCAAATTTTATTTGGCGAAATCATAAATTGTTTTTAACTTCAAAAAGTTTTAAGTGCATATTTTATCTTTAGGGGCATAACTTCAAAAGCTGAAATTTTTCAGAAAATAAGTCAGTGTTTGTTTCTGCTTCCTTGATTGCTCTTTCCAACTCAGTTGGCTATGTTTATCTTCTGAGTAAAACTGCTTCGAACAATTTTTATGTTTTATTTTATTGCTCGCTGTTATCTTTTTTTGGAATTTTGTGTTTTCTTTGTATCACAGACTTATAGGATCTTGAAAAAGCCCATGATTTTAAGCTGATAGATCACCATTCTTTGATATAGTTTTTTCGATAACTCTCCATACCGCAGCTCGTCGACGTCGCTGTTACTAGCAAGATAGTCGGTAGATTTTGTCCCAACCCATCACGATGTGGAACGAAACATGGACAGATTTTATTCAATGGATTACGTTTACAATAAAGCATTGAGTGTGGTATCTTGTTAAAAACCTTTTAGCCGTCATTTGGATTCAAAGACATTTCAGCCGTGATTAAGCTTTCAAAGATGCATTGCTTAAACTATGCTTTTTAATTTTTTCAGGTGTTCGACGGAAATCGGAACTACCTTGACTGGGATGCCAACTCGAACTTATTTCCAGTTCAGCATCCTCTCAATTCATTCCGGTCCACCCCAATGGTGTCAGGGTCCAAAGAAGACGAAGGAGGTCCCTACGGTGGAAACCAGGAGCAACAGCTGAGTCTGACATTCTGGGCATTCAAGGAAAACAGGATCCATTTCTTTGTCCAAGTCAAAGACACCATGTACATACAAAACGGTACACCCAGTGGACGCCTGCAGATTTACAACTCAGGACGCTCACATCTGAAATCTCTAAGAAGCGAAGCTGATTTATTACAGCTTCATATTTGTACTCTGAGTCTGAACTTGCCTAATATCTATGCGTCCGCCGGTCTAGACAACGGATCAGGTGCGGGTAAAGATATAAATCATCTGGTCAACTTTGCGTCAGCGGGCGAGCGAAGGAGGGATCCAACGGGCCGACTCTGTGAACCGAACTTGTCGCCGGATAGTAGCGCAGAGCGTGCATTGTTGCGTTTGACAGTTGTGGCTGATAGCATAGGATCTGATTGGCAGAAATTAGGAATGGGGTTGGGCATTGATCCGAACAATTTGAACATCATTGACTTGCAAGTGGGAAATGGAAGCCAGTCTTCGGACGGGGAGAACACTGCTGATTCGCAGAAGGCGTACAGAATGTTGCATCACTGGGCGGAGTATCAGGGCGTAAACGCAACAGGTCAGCTACGTGTCCTATTGTTAAAGTAATAAAAAAAGTGATTTATCACTTATTTAGGCAGTATTTTTTATTTTTTGGGATAATTTTTACCGGTTCAAACTTGGTTTTTATCGGCTGGACTGTGTTTCAAGAGTGAAATATAACTAATTCAAACTTCGTGGAATAAAAAATTATCTACTTATCCAATGTTTACACATGAGAAACGTAATGCCGTATTGCGAAGTCAATTCTTTTTCAACCCAATTCGCAAATTGAAGTGCTCATTTGATGGCATAAGCATCATAACTGGTTTACCTTTGATGCATTAACGTTAAATCTGGTTTAATTGTGCTGCATTAGCATTATATCTAGTGTTAAGTAGCTAGTGCTTGAAGATTTTCAAGTGACCGAGGTGCTGATGCTAGGGCGTCTGACTTCTGATCTCGAAGACGGGGGTTCGATTGGAGCACATTGCAGAATTTTACTTAGTTTTACTTATACTTTCCTTTTTTCTATTTTCGAGCCTTTTAGAGCTACTTTTCGATGTTATCTCGCTTATGTTTGCGAAGTGAGTTTTCGCCTTTGTGTTTCAATATGGGTTAGCTTTATCAAACAGTCTTTGATTATATTTGAATTTCGAAAATTTAAAAATGGCGTTATATTTTGTTACTTATTATGTTGTTCGTGAGGACATGTTGATCGGGCTTAGCTCGACTGTCTCCAGTTTAAAGATTTGGGCGGCATCCTCAGGCCGAAGCCGCAGAGCTGCTTGGGGAAGTACGAAAGGGTTTTTGGGACAGGTTACATGTGTTAGGTGTAAGAAGGGAACAATTTGAGCATAGAAGAGAAACGGAGCTTCGCATGCGGCAGAAGTAATGTATAAAAGCCGGGTGTAACCGGACCCGGAGATGGGAGGGCTTACAGCAGAAAGTGCTGGAAACTGATTGTTTTGAAGGTTTTTGGGAGAGGTATGCAGCTAACTTAAGAGAGCGGTTTACTTGAAGGAGTTTAAGGCAATTAAAAGTAGCGAATTCATCTTGGTTATTAAATTCTGTATGCGTTTACTTTAGAAGCGTGACTAAAAAACTTCGAAAGTTTGTTTTTTGAAACAGATGAATGACGACGTGGAGTGAAGTTTAGATTGAAAAATATTTCAGGGCAATGGGAACGGTAAGTGGGAGATGGGGGAAAAATTTGGAAATTAATTGAGGTGGTTTTCATTATAAAGCATTGCTACTTCACCGCAGAACTCATGAAGTTAGTACAGAAATAAATTGGAGCCCTTGTTTTTGGGCAACTTGCAGATGATTCATTGAGCAGTTCATGGCCTTGTTTGACTAGGCAGGGGAAGCGTAGCCAAAGGTAGGTCTGACAAGGGTTTTGAGAGTAGGTGTAGAGTTTCTTTTTGAGCTCAAGTTGAACCTACTTACGACTTCCGGACTCTTGTTTTGCGCCTGGCCTTGGCAGCAGACTCTTTGTGTGGCAGAATAAGGAGTCGGTTTGAATGTAACTCTTGTCGTTTTGGTTTTTTTCGGAAGGGTTTTTGTGCGGGAAAGGCTCCTTGCTTACAAATATACTAGGTAAGACGAAAAACATCTATGATTGTGCGGAGAACTTAAAAATTAACTTGATGTGTTAGAGTAATGAACTTAGTGAAGACTCTTATATAGTTCTTGGTGATTTTTTTTCAGGAAAAAGTCTAAATTTGTTCACGCTTACTTTTGATTTTTCGCGGTTCGACTTGTGGTTTCTTTTTAAGCTCAGTGCATCTCTATTGTTAAAAGGAAGGCAAACTCTACTATCGAACAGCAAAAGTGTAAAGGTCATGAAAAACATGATCGAATTCTGGTTTTAAAGTGGAATTTAAATCAGATTTTCCAGCGAAATAAAATCTGTACCTATTGATCCAGTTTTCTCAAAGTGGGTTTAATTTCATGAAAAAAATTGTAAATTATAAATTGCTGTAGAATTTCAAAGAGGCCATCTTTTTTTTTTCTGTTAAGTTCGAAAGGCATTTTTTTCTGTTTCCTTGCGGTCATTACTCTTTTCCAAAAATCAGTTGGCTATGTTTAATCAGTCGCAATTACGTTTTTGTTTCTTTGAGTCGCAATTGCGTTTTTGTTTCTTGAGTTATTACCAGTTGATTTTTTTAGTTAGTAGGCTTGGAAGGAAGCTTATTGTGATAGGATCTTCAATAATTTTTAGGAAGAAATGTTCTGCTTTTAGGAGCAGCATTGGAAAAAGCATTGAATAACATCGGAAGAGGCGAAATTAACCCAAAGTGGAGAAAGCCGGTGTTCCGAGCACCCGGCGGGGGTTCGATTGACCGAAGCAGCAAAGACCTGGATAGCCGAGAGACCCCCGAAGAAAACAACGATTCACGAGTTGTTAGAAAACTGACTCGCGTCATACGAGTCGATCCGGACGGAACACGTCACGAGTACCTGCAGGAAGTTGACCCGAGGGATACAACAGGTGCGAGCAAAAGTACTGATGAACTAATCGAGCGTGCGATTGCAGATTCGCCTTTCAGCAGCGAGAATGGTAATGCGGCAGGGGAGAAGGTTGAAACTACCGTCCGAAAGTAAGTAACTGAACTACAGTTGGAATTAAACTAGTTGTAGTATCCATGCTTCTGGATCACTCACAAAAAGTAAATAGAATTCAAACTCTTTGTTTTGCATCTACAGTACTTAAAGCGCGAAAGTAAATTACCGGGGGTTGGAAGTTTGTGGGTCAGTCTTTTGTACCATTGCCAAAATCTAGCCACATTTTTTCTTGAACATTAATGCAGACGACAATTTTAAAGCATCGGAAGTAGTTTTTTTTTGGAGCTTTTAAAAACGGCGCTTTTTCTAAATTTAGTAAATAAATTTTATGGTATAACAATTCCGGTGCATAAAAATGTATGCTATAAAAATCCCTTCATACCACCCCCTTCAGACCCCTATCAATTATCAGGGGGGGGGGGGGGGGGGGTTGTCCTAACAAAAAATGAGTAGTAGTGTGGGTTGCATTAAGTCGGCTTTTTTATGGGCTTTAAATTCTAATCACTGAGAATAGTGGCTTTTTTCATAGTGGAAAGGAGTTCCCTTTGAGATCATCAGATTGTCTAAGTGATTCACTGATATGGCAATTATAGTGTGCCAGGACAAGCTCTCATTTGAAATGTGAGCGAAAATAGAAGCGGACGATCTTTGGACAGGGTTAACAGCCTTTGATAGATACTCTGATCATTTATTAGGGGGCTAAAATCGGCTTTTCCCAGATCTTCAATGGGCGTATTTTGCTAATCGACGTCGTTTCAGCGTTGTGATTGACAGAGAGGTAGTGAAGAAAACGATCATTGTGGACGGTAAGGAGCAAGTTGTCATTGAGCCTTATCCTCCCAGGAGTCCCTCCCAAGCATCGTCCCATTTACCAAATCAGAACGTCAGTCCTACTTACTTGAACGGGTCTCCAGTTGATTCCAACGTCTCTGGTCCAGGCACCTCGCAAATTCCATCCAATCAGAATCCGACAAATGGAACAGTTTACTCGGCTGAAGACGATTCGGAGTTGCAAACTGCGCTTGATAACTATATACAGTCGAATCATCAGCCGTAGAAGTTTGATGCGAAAAAACATATGAATTGTTTTTTTTTATTGCCACTAAAAAACTGACCTGTTTTGTTCACTTTGTGTTCACACATGTCCCACAATGTTTGTTCGAAACTTACCGAAGTGCAATCTTTTCACACACTTACCATAAAGTCACTAAATCCATTACACAGAGCTGCGCACAGTGGAGCAATATTTCTTAGAAGCTATAATCTCAATTGTCAGATAAATATATAGTCGATAGACGAAATAAAATAGATAATGATTAATTAATCAAATGCATTGTTTGTTCATAAAGACTATTCTCAACTTGTAATGTCTAATTCGTTCCTTCTTTTACTATCATATCTGTCTAATTTTCTATCTTGATGGAGATTTTTGACCCTAAATAGATGTCCATATTTTCCAGGCCTGTGGCGATGTATAGCAAATCAAACAGCTTCCAAAATGGAAATTTCATTTCGAGTTTTGTCCAAATTCAATGATCACAGTGAGCTAGATTCTTATAAATAGAAAAATGTTGAAATTTGCTGACTGATACTTAAATTTATTTCCAAAATTTGAATTTACGTTTTCAATTTTTGTACAACCCATAAAGTTTAAAGTTTAAAAATTAGAATTCCAGAAAATGAAACCTGTGTGAATGATATTTGTATCTGTTTATGAATTAAAAACAAATTGTAATTTTTCATTTCCTGTATTGCTATTTCATAGAATCATGATCGTACTGACCTTATATTTTACTTTGAATTTCGAATTGTCACATTTTAGTCGAATATAAATTTTGTAGTACTTTTCTGTTTGAGCAGAGAGATTTGAGATGGGACCGACCTTTATTAACAATCGATGAAAATTTTTCAAGTTTATGTAGGTCGCGATGACTTTTTTGTTAGGTTTTTTTTGCATAAAGTCCTGAAATTTGTTCTGGCTCAATTTTGCTTTTTCGCTTTTGCTATTTGCTTTTTTAAGACTTTCTTTTTAAATCCTATTCAGCACAATTGTAAAGGTCACGAAAAACATGATCGACTTCGTAAGTGGGCTTAAAATTTCAGATTTTAGCGGATTAAAAATTTTACAGATTGCTCCAGTTGTCTGAAATACAGTTAATTTTATCAAAAAAAGTGTCAATCCCAACTTGTTCCAGAACTTCAAAAATTCAGATTTTTCAAAAAGGTCGATACTTATTTTTTCTGTTTACTAGCTTTCCTTGACAATTTTCCAACTGTCTGTTGGCAATGTTTCTGTGCGGATAAAGTTCTTTCTGGAGATTTAATCACTTGTTTTATCTGGATTATAAAAGTACATTCTTTGCTAACTGGTTTTGTTATCAGATAGTGTGTGAATTAATGGAGACAGAAGGATGAGATAGCTCAGTTGTGATAGAATTAGACGCGGTTTCTAAGGGACCGTAATAAAAGTGGTTTGATTCCTGAATTCAGCTAACTTTAAAAAAAAATTCATCTCTATTTTCGTTTTTTGAAATTTCGAAGCTCTCGAGTAAGTTTTTTTTAAATTTGCTTGCGAGTAGCAGCGTTGTTTCGGTGAAAAATATTCAAATAGTTTTTTGTGTGTCCTTTTTAAGGTAAATACAGCAACAACTAGCTAGATGGATAAAATTCAGCAAACATTTTTCAGTTAAAATTTTGTACTTATTTTTTTCAGACTCATGAACGTAGTGAATGCTCTTATACAGATTTTGGTAATTTTCTTAAAGAGTTTTTGTTCGGAAAAAAGTTTTTGTTTGCGCTCAAATCAGTTTTTGGGCTTCGACTTTTTGATTTTTTTTGAGCTCGCTGCTTTTCCTTCGTTAAATGAAGCAAAACCATTTATCAAACAGCAAACATGTAGAGGTAACAAAAATGTCAATGGCTTCTAGTTTCGAATGTGAGTTTCAATTTTGAGATTTCTCAGCGGAACAAAAATTTTTTATTGATCCAATTTTCTCAAATTGGAGTAATTTTCACGAATTTGTGTCAATAAATAAACTGTTCTTGAAGAAACTGTTTTGGCTATATTTTTAAGAGCAGGGTTTATTTAAAACTCAAGCAAAAGTGTAAAAAAGTGGATATAAAGAAATCAAAATGTATTAGAATAATTGACTAATTTTAAGAATTGATGAACGAAAAAAGATTTAAAATGTTTTGTCTTTTTTGACCTTTCTTTGGGTTTGTCTAGAGCATTTTTGTTTTTCATTTTCCAGGATATTTTCAAGAAAGTGCGTTTTGGGAAGTACTTCAGATCACGTTTGGAACTCTATTTTTATCCTGGCGTTAAAACTTAAAAATTTAGGCGTTCCGGATTTTAGGCTGCAACCGGGTTTTAGTTTTTTTTCTGTAGAAATATTTGTTTACAAAGTTTGGCACGGAAAGTTTACTCGTGATTTATTTTGCTTTTAAATAAAATCAAAATCAGCTATCCGGACAATCTGATGTAGACGTTACACACATGCTTGAGAAAAAAATGGATTGTGATTTTTCAACATTTGGCTTAAAACTCGCCCAGGACCTGTTTTTTTTTTGCAAACTGAAAATATCAGCTTTTTTGTACTTCCGTTTGCCTGGTTTTTTGTCGGCTTAGTTCCCTAGTTGTTATAGCACGGACTCTTTTAGAAGGCTCACCTTTCTTCTGAATTTTTAAAAGCTATTTCTAAAGCCCCATAGATTGAGATAATAGAAATACAAAATTTCTGCGGAGTTTTTCAGTCAATTTTGAAAAATTTGAACGAAAATTATGAAACAATTTTCTTTGAATTTTCTTCCGTCAGTTAAAATGCAGCGGTTTTTCTAAGCATACCTTTTTAATACTCGCAATTAGCAAGTGTTATCATTTCGGAGAATTTTTCTCCTACACAAGTTGTCATGTAACTAACTTGTTTAACAACATAACTAAATCATTCTCTCAAAGCTTCGTATTCTTCCACCAACAGACATGTTTTGAGCTTGTTTGCATTTCAAAAACCCGTTATGTTCAAGAATTGTTTTTCATTTTCATTTTGGTTTCAAGTTTTTACTTATTTTTTTCATTTTCATTTTGGTTTCAAGTTTTTACCAGAGTTTTGATTTGTTATATATATAACTTTCTATTCCATTTCAACTGAATTGGCTTAGTGGTGTCATTTTGCGGTATTGAATGAGCGAAACAAAATTTTAATGCGTTTGAAGTTTTTGAGGGGTAATTTAGTTTTTTTATCGAAAATGATTGTTTTATTTTCAAAAAACGATTTTTTGGGCTCAACGAGTGTCTGCTCAGAAAATGTGGTCTTTGTAACCGCTTCGTAAATTTTGCTTCGATACAAGTTTAATTTTCAATTGCTATGATCGGCATGTGAACTTAATTTGAACAAAAAGAGACAAAGATGTGAACTCTTTAATAGACCAAGCTTTTCTCGACATTTCCAAAAACTTTTTTCATCTTTAGCGGCTTTTGCGCCAATTTCTGTTTTGCTGTATCCTAAGTGGTGTGAAACTCTGCTTTATCTCTTTCTGAAAGATTCTTGAGCTTGTCAAAATCTTTCTTTTGAATGATTGTTCTTGAACTTATCAACTCACTGCTTATTTAATTTCTTTTTGAACTAACAATGCTTTTTCAAGTTTTCAAAAACTGTCCGTCTGCTTCTGTTTTGCTTAGCACCGCGAATGTATTGGTTGGGTCAAACATTACTCACTACATCACTTTCATTCACTCTAGTTTCGTCTGACCACACATTGATTGCGTTTTTGCAGGTACAAAGGTTATCACAAAGCAGTAATGCAAGAAAATAAAAACGAATTTGATGATGCGAATCAAACAAATTGAGCTAGCGTTGTTTTCTTGGAGTGAACCGGATTTGAAATACTTTCGAAAAACGAATTGTTTGATCTCAGGCTACTTCCAAATCGAGCTTATCTGGAAAAGAGGGATGGCTGGGAATCAAACAGTCCGCGACCTGAAGTTTTGCATCAACTTGAGTGCTTTTTGTTGTCAAAAGGGTTTGTCTGATTCTAATAAAGAACGTTTTCAGTTTGGTCTGCATCGCTGCATTTGTCACAGTTTTGTGAAATGTTTTCTCCAAATTTTTCAGTATTTGTCAAATTTTTCAATGAGTGCTTATTTTTTTCTGATTTATGCAAATTTGTTTACAAAACTAGACAGAAAACTGTGGTATTTTTAGTTTTCAAATTTTTTAACCAAAAATTAAACAACTTCTTGATTCACAAAAGTGTCTGATTCAATCGGTTGTCGGAGATCCGAGTTCAACTTCTGCGGATTTTTAGATTTTCGGTTTACTTCGATTTTCTTGGTCTAGCTCAGCTTTTAGGTTTGTTTCAAGCTTTCTGTTTTGTCAGGTTAGACAGAAAATCCAACATAGTGACCTTAATCTATTTCGGGACAGCAAAAGTTCTTTCGGAAAAGTACTACTTTTTTTTAAAAAAAAATCAAATTACCCTTGTTATCTAGGTAGGGCCTAAAAAGCATCGAGTAGATTTTTTTCATTTGCTTCTTCAGAAAACATACACTTGAACCTGTTGGTGTGTTGCTGTAAAAATGAGTTTTCTGCTTCGTCGAATAACCTTTTTCCAGGTTGCATAATCATTTAACCTGATCTACTTGAATTGGAATCCTATCCTATCGTCTCTTCAACACAGGTCGAACGATAAGGTTATCAAGATCGGAAACTTTTTTAGCTACCAATGCTAGTTGAAACGTATTACTCCACTGAAGTTACCGGATAGCTGTTTCCTCTACAAAACTGAGCAAATAGACTTAATTCTACAAAATTGAGCAAATAGACTGTAAAGTATAAACTAATACTGATTTATTTTAAAAAATTTATTTGAAATGTTTGAATTTTAAAATCCTGATATAATTGAATTCAATTATAGACTGAAAGCATAGCTCCAACGGTAACAGTCAATCTGACCAACAAACAAGATCTGAAGACATAATACTACAAAAATAGTCGTTGTTTTGCTTCTGAAACAAGATGTTCCGACCACACTGATTTAAAATGATAAAATCTTAGATGAAGCAAAAGATTTTGAAAAACATCCCAAAAATGACAATTTTTTTTAACTTTTGTTTTCAATTTTCTGGTTATTTTTATTTTAAAGGGCGAATGAACTTGATAGAAAAAGAGATCTTGATAGCTAATAATAATACTCAAGTAAACTTTTAAAAGTAGTAGTTAAAAAACGTTAAAACTGTAGCCGAGAGGTCAGCTTTTCTTTTTTTGTCTAACTTGGCCTGAAAACCGACACTAATCAGTCTAATTTTTCTCTTATATGAAACAACTTTCTTCACACTTTTTTTCTTTCGGAAACCGAATAAGCGTCAGTATGGCTTCAACTTGATACCACTTCTGTCCCCATATTAACTTTCTCTTGAGTAGACAAGTTTGAGGAAAAAAACCAAACCTAGCGCATAGCTCCCTAGTACTTCAGGAAGTGATCGGAACAAAAACTTTCAGTGAATGCACCTCCACCCGCATCCAGTATATCCGGATCGAACCCTGGACACGTGAAATTACTTGAAAAAATTTTCTTTTTCTTGGAGAGTTTGCAGCCAAAGCTGTCCCAGCTTTTTGTAGAACTTCCTGCCTTTATTAGTTGATTTTGTTTCAGTTAGAACTTCATTGTATTGTCTAATCAATTTTTTGTCTCTACTTTGAACTGCAAACGAAAGACATCTCAGAGCCAATTTATAATCGGTTTCTATTTTTGAAAAGTCGAAAGAAAATTTTTTTGCCGCTGCTTCCTCGTTTTCATACTGTAACCCACACTTTCGCTCCAGTTTCTTGTTTTCTTCGTGTAGCT